TGAATTTAAGGAATATTATTTATGTAGTACAGTAGTACAGTGTTTCTTTGTCTCAATATAAATGCAAAAATTAAAAATATACATTGTATACCGGGTGCGTCTCAAAAGTGGCTCACCCCTATAACTTTTATGATTGTTCTCGGTCACTTCCTGTTTCACCGGAAATGACTACAATTTTTGATTTTTAAATCACACCCTCGGTATTTTCTACTTTATTCGATGGAAATGACACTCTGAATAGAATGAAATATATGTCACCTTTTGACATATTCGCTTAAAAAAACACTGTCTTTAAATTTCAATATAAAGTGCCATGGCTGTGCTAAAAACACTAATTTTTAATGAAGGAGCCTTGAAAAAATAGATTTGATTGTCTAATATTTTAGTGTCTTCTCCTGGCCAGTTAAAAGATGCCCAAATCGTATTTTTAACCATACCTCAATTTTTTCAAATAGATCGAGGGTGGCTCATAAGCATATTTGGAAAAAGCATTTTTACGAATAATTTGACACTACACACTTGGTATTTCGTGTCAAATTGTCGTTATGAACCGCACATTACAATTTCAAATAAACCATATGAGAAAATGTCAAAAGTTGATATATGATATGTCATTCTATTCAGAGTGTCATTTTCTATCAGATAAACTAAAAAAATACCGAGGGTGCCATTTAAAAATCAAAAGTTATAGTCATTTCCGGTAAAACAGGAAGAGACCAAGAACAATTAAATACGTCAATCAATCCCAATTTATGTCTTATAAACATACAAAATCTCGTTTTAATGCATGACACATTATAATTTTTAGCTATATTTTTATGATCTGGTGTAAATTTGGTCTTTACTTCACAAAGTGATTGCTGTTGCCTTATCTGCACATACAGGGTGTCCCAGGCTGAGCGTTTATTAGAAGTTTCTAGAGAAGTATAGTACATATCTAGATTGGAGATTTTTTGCACATCACTGTTTCACAACGAGATCTATCGATTAAAAATATTTTCAATATTGCGACACTTTAGAAAATACCGGAAGTTGACAACAACTTTCTTATTTTAAATGGGTACCCCCATTTTTATTACATACTTAAATTCTCTGTAAAATTTTATGACTTCTGATATCAAATACTCTATATATCTAACATTAACCATTTTTGAGAAAAAAAATATTTAAAATTTTTGGACGAAAAAAAACTACCTGTCGAAAAAATATGTAGAGCCTAAATGAAAAATTTAGTGATTACCACAGCCACTGTGGAATAAAGAGAAGGCATGTGGCTATCTATTTCAAAAATTAAATTGTTCGTAGCTGTAACGGAATTGAGCGATTAAAGAATTATCGTAAATAATTTTTTTCAAATGGAAACCCACTTTTTTAATTCACTAGTGAAAAGGTTTTTTAATTCGTTACTTTTTGATTATACATGTTCCTATACCTAAAATAAATCGTTTTTAAGTTATTTAAGATTTAGTTTTAAAGGGTATATTTTTTTGTTCTTTAACCATTAGCTTATGACTTTAAACGTAACGCGATATAAAACTATATCTGTCCATGTCATATTGCCATTATCACTAAAATACGAGATATATTTTCATAAATATACTATAAAATTTTACCAGCAGTATTTATAATATACGAAATTCAAATAATTAGTTTTTTGACAGAAGGAAATAAATTGTCTGATGGTTTGACACTTAATGTCAAAGGAAGGTAGATAAAATCAAGAAAAAAATATGCTTTAAAACTAAATCTTAATTAACTTAAAAACGATTGATTTTAGGTATATGAACATATATAATCAAAAAGTAATGAATTAAAAAACCTTTTCTCTAGTTAAATAAAAAAAGTGGGTTTCCATTTGAAAAAAATGATGATAATTTTTTAATCGCTCAATTCCATGACATCTACGGCCAATATTATATGTCATTCGAACAATTTAATTTTTGAAATAGATAGCCATATGTATTCTCTTTATGCCACAGTGGCTGCGGTAATCACAAAATTGGTCGTTTAGGCTATACAGATTTTTTAGACAGGCAGTTTTTTTCCTCCAAAAATTTTAAATATTTTTTTTTCTCACAAACGGTTAATGTTAGATATAGAGTGTTTAATATCAAAATTCATAAAATTTTACAGAGAATTTAAGCATGAAATAAAAAATGGGGGATTTTAATTGGGTTTAAAATAAGCAAGTTGCTGTCAACTTCCGGTATTTCCGGAAGTGCCGCCATATTGGAAATATTTTTAATCGATAGATCTTGCTGTGAAACAGTCATGTGCAAAAAATCTCCGGTCTAGATATTGTAGTTCTCTAGAAACTTCTAATGCGCGCTCGGCCTGGGTCACCCGACACCCTGTATATAATGAAATTATCCCCATAGTTTTGTCTCCCGGATTTATAAGAAGAAAGTATATTGCTAGTGGGTAACAGTTTTTACTGTAAAGTAGAACTGTTTCATATTTATTTGTTTAAATTATTAGGTCTAGCCGTGGAACAATCTCGAACTAGAGCTAACCAATCACATATCTTAAAATCAGTTTAGAATTTATCAGCTTGTATATGAAACCACTGATTCTGATTTTATCTGCGAAAACACCTACTATTGAAAATATATTTTTATATTAGACAAGTCCCTGTACTAGATAGCTGTGTTAATTTGTTTAGTTAAGTTTATCATTAATAGTTTGAAAAATAACCCAGGCATTGTAAAATTCCATTAAAAAACATAGATATTTGCCACGAATAATGTAAGCTTTTATTAAATAAACAAAAATGTATTAATTTACATTGTAAATATATGCATCTTTTAATTTTATATTTACTTTAGCAGGTCTAATTTGAGACAAAGTTGTTATTATTTTTACTACCCCCACCCCCTAATGAAATCCGTTTACAATTATTTATATCATATTAACAATGCCAGTAAGCAATTTTAGACTTTGTAGGAAATTTAATGAAATGGTAATAGTAACAAAAGTTGAAAATATATTACAAATAATACCACATTATTTGTAAAAAAAATTCTAGACAAAAAACTACATTTTAGGTACGTGATCATATTATACAGGGAGCTACAAATTCGAGGTACGAGCATTGGTATCTCGGTAACCGTAATAGATATGAACATGGTTAAATTGGGGCAAAGTTGCGCTTTGGGATGTTCACCAAGATGCTATCAAAAAAGTTTTAAAAATTTCAAGAATTACTGAGTTTAAAAAAAACGGTTTTTTTAAACCAATTTTTCCCTGTCGTTACTTTTTAGAAAATCAAAAAATAATTGCACTTTCTCATAGCCACTTTATTAGGGCTATCTGATAGTATTTTTAGATTTTCAAATTAACTGATAATTTATGTGATACAGAGGCCAACTTAATTTTTTTAAATACGGACCTGCATTTTTTATTTCAGGTTTTGAAAGAACTCGGTCTCCTGAGTACAACGATATGCCACACTTTATACTTTTTTTGTTTTTGGTACCTTAACAACAACAAAACTATTTAATTATTATTTAAAATAATTTCAAGTCAGAGTCCCCTCGCTGGCTATTATACTGCTCTACCATTTCCAATCCATCTTCCGGGGAAATGATTTCATTGTTATATTATATTTATATTATTTATTTTAGATTATTAGCCGACCATAGCAATAGGTATGGTAGGCTATTAGGATTGGCAAAAAAAAGTTTTTTTAATTTCACTCAAAATGAGTTATTTGGGTCATAAATGACTTAAATACAAAATATTTTCATGGTGTCTGTCTGTCTGTCTGTCTGTCTGTCTGCCGTCTGCTGTCTGTATGCCGTCTGTAACACGATAACTCAAAAACCGCTGAACCGATTTTAACCAAATTTGGCACAAAAATACTGTGGCACCCGAGAATCTGGCCTTTAGTTTTTAGTGAGGGTGGGGGGTTGGTAAGGGGGTAAGGGAGGGGGTTAAAAATTAAAAAAAATCGTAACTCCAAAATTACAGTAGCTAGCGAAACGTGGTTTTCAAATTAAGATTAGGAATAATATTTGCAACAAAATTTGTAATAACATCAAAATCAGTCAAAGTCGCAGTTTTCGAGATATTAACATATTTTAGTATGGGCGGCTATACGTGCCTCCTGGCGCCAATTTTTTTTATTGCATTTGATTTTCCATATTCAATGTTTTACGCCACTTCATTGTTAAGTTTAAAAGCTTATCAATATTGTAATGATGAATAGATTAAATATAAAAAAAAAACAGGGCCGGACTTAAAATTAGTTTAAATAAGTTGTCTTTGGTGTTTAAATGTCCAAAACAAAAAGAATATTAAGTGTGGCACATCATTGTACTCAGAAAACCGAGTTCTTTCAAAACCTTAAATAAAAATGCAGGTCCGCATTTAAAAAAATTAAGTTGCCTCTGTATCACATAAATTATCAGTTAATTTAAAAATCTAAAAATACTATCAGAGAGCCCTAAAAAAGTGGCTATAAGAAATTGCAATTAATTTTTTTATTTTCTAAAAAGTAACGACAACAAAAAATAAAATTGATTTTCAAAAAAATCTGTCTTTTCTTAAAAACTCAACAATCCTTGAAATTTTTAAAACTTTTGATAGCATCTTGGTGAACAATCCAAAACACAACTTTGCCCCGATTTAACCATATTCGTATCTATTACGGTTACCAAGGTACCAATGCTCGTACGTCGAATTTGTAGCACCCTGTATAGTATAAAAGCAATTTTAATGAATTATTATATCAATAAAAGATTTCCTTCACTTAAGGTATTAGTATAGAACTTATGATTAATTTAATAATATTAAATTAGATTGCAGTGTCTCATCAAAATACACTAAATAACCAAACCTAAACAATATAGAATGACACTGAACCTTATAAGCAAAAATCTGTTGATTAATTTGTTATCAAAAATTTTTTTAGTTAAAAATTAATGTCAGTGATATCAGTTTATATTCGGTAAAGTAAAAAATGCAAGAGAGAGAATCTCGTATACTACAATAATACATACCTGGGCTACACCTTCATCCCAGCCTTTAATAACTTCTCCTTTTCCGATGTGGAATTTAAATGGCGTTCCACGATCACGAGAAGAGTCAAACTTGGTTCCATTTTGTAATGTTCCTGTATAATGAACTATCACAGTCTGGCCAGTTTTTGGAAATGTGGAACCTAATGAAAGCAGATATAAGTACAGCTTAATTTGACTACATCAATACACATATATTGATTTTTTGTGAATTTAATTGTTTGTAGGCCTAATATTAATATGGAATTACTATTTACAGGTCTATTATGTACAATATTATTTGGGAAATATATACTACCTACTACTTTTCCAAATTAGGCTTGGTTTTATTTGAATCTGAAAAATACCTATTTAACCTATATATCGGATACTTACCGTCTCCGGGATTAATAGATTGTACTTCAACACCCATTCTAAAACATATTAATAGTACTAATGTGATAAAATAAAAAGATGAAATTTTACCTGGAAAGTATACAAAAGTAAATGCAAATAATGCAATAGCAGATCAAGAATCAACGCCTTCCAAAAAGAACTCCTATTCTGAATTCTGAAATACAAATACCGTATACCGTATACCGTTAAAGTGTCACTAACGTCAAATTACCAACAGTGTTGCCGCACCCTACTTTTATAGCTTACCACCAGGGTTCGGAAGTAGTTAATAAGACGTAATTTACCTGATTAACTACGTGTAGTTTTTCTTCAATAGAGAACAACGGCATACGGTCGAATCGGCCTACAAACACGTAAACGTTTACGTACGCATGCGCATTTCTTATATTTTCTATTTTTTATAAACGTAAAAGATTCTTTACGTCTACGTATACGTGCCAGGAGCGGCCGACTCGACCGTATGCCGTTGTTCTCTAAAAACTACGTATTTTCCCGTTCATTAACTACATGAAAACTACGTTAATAAACTATGTATTGATATTATGAATAATTTTCCTTTGTATGAGGTGTAATAGAGATAATATGATGTAAATATTATATTTAAAGCCATATTTCTTCTGTTTTCTTAAAAATACATTATGTGTTTTTAAAGCTTCAACTTATTAAAACCTCCCTCAAACCTTTGATATTTCAAAGTTACATACATAAGTTACATAAACTACACCCTCTACATAAACTAGATTAACTACATGTAATGTAGTATATGTAGTTTTTAAAAGTAACATGTAGTTTTCCGAACCCTGGTGGTAAGCAGGGTTCGGAAAACTACATGTTACTTTTAAAAACTACATAAACTACATTACATGTAGTTAATGTAGTTTATGTAGAGGGTGTAGTTTATTTACACGTTAATAATCCTATACACAGTAATAGCACGGCACATAAAACAATCGGCACGCCAACTCTGCTCAGATTCCATTGTTTAAAATTTCTATAAAATTTGACCTTGACAGCGCCATTATCGTTTCCTAGTCAGGGCCGGATTAAAACGTATCAAAAAATTTCTCAGAAAATACGACAGGGTCGCATTAAAAAAATACTGTAATTGACTGAAACATAGAAATAGATAGAGCAAGTCATTCATAAATTCACAAAATCGAGGTGCCAACATCGTTTTGTCGGTGAGTGCCCCCACTACCCTAGTTTATGGACAGCGGGGTAAAGAGAAAAGTGGTAGGGGAGTTTACAGCCGAAGAGCATCAAAACAGAATTTAACCTTGAGATTCATTGATGATAGTAAAGTAAAAGCCAGAGATATAGAAGTAGGTGGTTAGAGGCAAAGATAAAATATTTTTTTAATAATAAATTTTAAAAATATGTTCATGCAATAAAACTAATAAATTATTATAAATACATAATAGTATATGCTATAAAATATTTAACAAACACTATAAAAAATTTGTTTATTAAATATTCAATAATTAAAAGTTAGATATAATTAAAAGATATTATACGTATTGTATATCGTATAGTGATTGATAATTGATAAACTAAAATGTTAATGGATCTATTATATAAGATGTCTTGTTATTTAGATAGTATTAATTACAAAAGAAAAATAGATGCATGTGAATAACTATTTTTTATATTAAATATCAGTAGATATTATTTACAATAATAATATAATTAATATAATGTATAATTAAAAAGCACAAAATTCATCTTTTCCTACCTATACCATAAATATATTCGGTAATTTTAAGTGGAAATATTAGCACAAAAACTAAAAAAAAACAATGTTCTGTAGTTTTCAAATTCATATTAGTAAGAGAGTAATATTTTGACCAAACGAATTCTCAGTGTAAGGATATTTACATACCATATAATTTTACATTAATTAGGTATTAATCATAACACGATATTAATAAAAAACACAAGTGTTGTATTTTAATAATATATTTAGGGACTGAGTAAAAAATATAATATATGTATAATATTCTTACATTTACAGGTTCATATTAAATAAAATATTGTAACCTGAAAAAATATATATTTTGTTAAATGCCACTGTAAGGATCCAAGCAGAAACTAATTTCTCATTGGCTTTTTACTTGTTGACATATGTATTTGCATAACAGATAACATAGTTATAGCAAATAGTCTAAAAAAAACGGCGTCAAAGGCGGCTGAGGAATGACGATTGATAATTTAGCGAGGTCAATCTTAAACTACACCATTTAAAAATCATATTTACTTAATGTAAAAATAAATTACAACCTTAGAGCGCCTTTAAAAAATAGTACGAGCCAAGAAAATGACTTCTAGGGCTTGACCTCACTGAAATTATCATATTTTCATTCCCCAGTCGCCTTTGAAGCCGTTTTTTTCTCGATCGTATGGTTTCCTAACTTATTCAATCAATCAATCATTTATTTATTTCCATAAAACAATGTACAATTGTATAGGAATAGTCAATAAATTCTTAAAGCTAACACAAATATATAATACAAAATATAAAAAAACAAACACAACAGATCATAATAAAATTATCATATACGTAGGCCTCATATTATAATTTGCAGGTATTCCTCCACACTATAAAAGTTCATTCCGAACAAATCATTTTTTAAGTAAAAGTCTAGAATATGCGATTCTAATCACTATCATAATTTGTCTCTCAACAAAAGTAATTCTGTAGCTCTGCCTAGGGTTCACATCTCTCACTATTTTGCATAGTAGCATTACGTCAATTTTAAACATGATGTAAAGGACCAATTTCATATGCACTATGTAATTAAAGTAACGACTTCCACACCATGAATATCTTCACTTCCTAAAACAAAATATAAACATGAAGTTGGTGAATATAAATATCTACATTGAGTATACATTGTGAGCAAAATAAAATTGACAATCAATGACATTCACCACATAAATTTACATTTTATAAAATTACATAAATCTTGCTTTCAAAGCCAACCCTAACGCTGTTTTTTTTTTTTCGATGGTGAGATCTTATACAACTATAGTGTAATTTTAGTAAAATAATATTAATATAATATATATATACAAGTCTATATACATATAGGGTAACACCTCTCATAGGACGCGAAGGCTCCAAGGAAAATGAAAGTGAATTTGTATGACTTGATTGATTTCGAAACCCTCCATTTGTTCTCAAAATTTCATTTCAATACAAACTTCCAACAACAAAAATCCTTGAAACCTTCATATCTTATGAAAGGCACCACCCTGTACACTTTGAATCTGTGTATACATATTAGTATATAGTAATATTTTATATTAAAAAATTAAACTGTAAATATATATGTACTTACATATCGTGACGGAATAGGTATCCTAACAAGATCATACTTCTTATCTCGTTATATGCAGGATCCTGATATCTTAATGTTAATTTCCTAGGTGATGTTGAAACAACTGAAACACCACAAATCGCGACATAAATGGCTGTGAAAATTATCAGATTTTAAATATTTTCTTCAATTCCTTATAAAAAAAATCAGCTGTTCTTGAGTTCTCTTGTGCTTGACTTTTTAATATTATGCTATGAATAAATCCTAACAGAGAAAACCATTTAATTTTTCTCTCACTATCTTTTAGAAATCTGAAATAAAATATTTATCTTAGTAATAGAAAACGTAAATAGGCATTATTTTTTTTACAAATGTAAACATACCAATTATAATTTATGTAAACATACAAATTATTTGTATTCATAATTGAAAAGCCTAGATAAAAAAGGGCCCATCCGTGCAATTTGTGCAAAACCCGTTTTTTCCTAATTGTGATTCTTCATTGAAATCCGCATCTACCCAGTAGGAGAAAGGCCCACTAAACGCACTCTAAACGTATTAAAATCAGCTGTGTGTTAATCGCTTTGAAGAACATGGGCCCATCTGATACATTTGGGCCTTTGTTTCGCTAAGTCAATATACGTATAAGTTTTAGTCTGTAGTCTGTGTTGAATTTGATAAACATAACCCCAAAATAACAGTACAGTTTATGTTTGTTTATGAGACGTGATGGATAATTCAGAGAACGAGGAAGCAAGTATTATAAAATTAAAAAGAAAAAGGAATGTTGACGAGTGGAAAAGTGTTAAAAATAAAAGGTTAAAGGCGAAAGGATTAGAGTACACTGCAAAAAAAGGCAAAAAATCAGCTAGGATAACAGGTGAAAGATGCAGGTGAGGTTAGGATCATAAAATATAATATACATGATCAATATACATTTTATTTTTTAGATGTCAACGAAAATGCTTAACATCATTTTCCGCAGAAGAAATGACTCGTATATTGGAAAATTTCAATAGTATTGGAGACCATGTAGCTCAAAACGTTTACCTGCAAGGTCTTATTACAATTTCGCCAGTCAACCAAAAAAGAAAGGGAGTGTTTAAAAAGAAGTTTAATTTTTCCTATAAAGTGCACATCGGTGAGAAAGTTTTATCTGTTTGCCGTGAAGGATTTGCCAGTTTGCATGGAATTGGAACCAAAAGGGTGCGAAATATTAGTGCGTCGAAGACTGTAGCTGCGGTACCAAGCGATAGTCGTGGCAAGCATCGAAACAGAAAAACAAATTATGTGGTACTACTGTTCAACTTATTGACGCACATATACAAAGTTTTCCATATTATATTGTACACTATGGACCGAGCGGTGAGCGAAGAAGGTATCTATCATCGCAGCTGAGTGTTTTGAAAATGTATGAAATGTTTTTGGAAAAACATTACCCAGGAGTCCTTTTCGAAGCTAAACAAAATGAACGCAATCTACAAAAATTACAAAGTGAAGTTAAGTATTCTTTCTATTTGCAGTATTTCCGTGATAACTATAACTACACATTTGGTCGCCCTCGTTCAGATGTTTGTACAACTTGTTCAGAAATGGAGGCCAAAATTTCACACGAAAAAAATGGAGCCTTGAAAAGAAGTTTGGAAACAGATCTCAAAGTGCATAAAACAAGAGCTAAGCTTTTTTACACTAAAATGCAAGAATGTTTGTTGAAAGCAAAAGAAAACGAAGATACAGAAGTTCTTTGTTTTGACTTTAAGCAGAATATTCCTTGCCCACATATGTGTACTTCTGACGTATTCTATAAAAGGCAACTTTGGATGTACTGCATATCCATTTACTCTGGGAAAAAATCAAAGAGTGTTATGTATACCTGGACAGAAAATACTGCAAAACGGGGCTGTAATGAAGTGCTCTCTGTTCTTAATCATTACATAAATGCATTTTTGCCTAGCAATGTCAAAAGACTGTATGTGTTTACAGATGGCTGCAGAGGGCAAAACCATAACCAGAATATGCTGAAGTTTTGGCAGACGTTGGTACTAAATGGGAAGTTTGAAAACATCCAGCATTTTTTTCCACAACGGGGACACAGCTTTTTGCCGTGCGACAGGCATTTTGCTATAATAGAAAAAATGCAAAGAAGAAGAGAAGTGGTTGAATCGCCTTCAGATTGGAACACCATAATAAGTTCCAAGTTTACTGTTGTTGAGCTTAAAAGAAATATGGTGAGAGACTTTGTGAATGGACTATCAGAACCTTTTTTTAAAAAAAACTTCACCACAAATAAGTTGAAATTCCAAATAACAAAGTATAAGTTTTTTGAGTTTAAAAGTGAATCAAAGTCTTTAATGTTTGGCAGCTTTTCATTAAATAATGTGTGTACCGATGTGTTCCGCCTTTTGAAACCTGGTGTTGAATTTGTTCCTATACCCGAAAAGCTAGCTTACTCGGCTGATTTACCTATAAACGCCCTCAAGCTACAAAATATTAAGGAACTTTGCAAGTTTTTAAAGGATGGAAAGGCCATTGCATTTTATGATTCCTTGACTGGTGCTACATGTACACATGAGGATGAACCAGACGAGCGTTAGTTCATAAGTATTATATTTATCCAATGTTTACTATAAGTTACCGTTTCAAATAGATGTGATTTTTTATCAATTTGTTAGTTATTTTCTATCTGTTTTATTATAGCAGTTGCTATATTATAACTTGGAAAAAAAAGGGCCCATTTTTTAAGTTTTTCTAAGTCTGTATTTTCTGCAAACATATGTTTTATAACCATATTTTTAATAAAATACACTTTGATGATGTACCTCTTTAGTGTATTTTATTAAAATTTATTGAATTTTAGTTTTTGGACCCAATATATGGTTTTTTGTCTCTCCTGAAAAATTACCTTTTTGAAAAATGGGCCCTTTTTCATCTAGGCTATTCAATTAAATACAAATATACGATTTTAAATCGGACAATATTGTAACAAAAATATAAACATTACTTCTTATAATATACATAATATATTATATTCACAAAATTATATTATAAAACAAATAAACAAATTTTAACAAATATGGTAAATATTTTAGGTAAATAAAACGAGATGTTGTATTACCACAGAACCATGGTACAAAGAATACAAGGTATGATCGATAGCGGCTCCAATTTCGTTCAGTTCGCGCATACCACCTGTGACGTCACTATGAAAATAATGAATAAATAAAAAATAAAGAAAGTTGACAGGAGATGTGCATTTTTTGGGGTTATGGTTAAGAATTGTTTATTTTTAAGACTTTTTAGTTCATTTAATTTAATAATTACTAAACAGCAGTTCCAAAAATATATTTAAAATAATAATTACCTATTAACATGGATTTGGTCGATAATAGGTAAGAATACTAAATTTATTTCTATATTCGGTATAAAATTGTTTATTAGATTTTTAGTTTGCGATGTTTATGGTAAATAATTTTCATGTTCATTGCCTCTGAATTCACATAAGGACAGAGATGAGGATATCTATGGAAAAGTAACCACAAGAGGAATTGTTACATCATTTAAAAAATGTTGGGAAGTTGAAGTTTCCCATCGAAAAGTAGAAAATGCAATGCAGATGAATGTATTGTAATTGTGATAGAAGTAATTCCAAGGGTGAAGTTTATTATAATTAGTGGAAGTAATTCCAAGGGTGAAGTTTATTATAATTAGTGACCTGTGCTTTTCTTTTTATATGTAGATGTTTCTGGTTTTGAGAATAAATCCGTTGAACGACACCCAAAATTTAGAGGAAGTATTTGCATACCCAGAATATGCCCATCAAAGATTATATAGCTCAAATTTCCTTTAATGGTAGGCAATTATTCAATGCAAATTAACTTTTTAAGTGACTGAAATATTAAATAGTTTACAATATGGTATATCATTAAAAATATATTACTTTTAGGTACAATTAGGGCCTGATACATTTCAAAAAGTAGAATATTATTTTATATTAAATGAGGTATTGTACCAACAGTCAATTTATATTAATACCGGAGATGAAAAAATAACAGAATAAATAGTTCTTTTTTTATACTACAAAAATAAACTATAGAATACAACAGTATTTAAAAAAATAAATAAAAAGTTATGTCCCGGCCGAGATTCGAACTCCGGTCTCTCGCTTCCTAGCCCGACTCCTTACGCACTGCTCCACAGTAACTTGCTTAGCGATAATTCAATGACGGTATATAAACAAAAAAACAGGTTTATAACAATATCTTGACGATTTGAACTGGCGCGCGGAGCGTGCTGACCAATAGCGCCTGTTATCACCTGTGACGTAGCGACCAACCTGCGCAATATCATACCTTGTATTCTTTGTACCATGCCACAGAACAGTACTTACTTTTGAAATGACACTCCACAATGTAAATTCTTTAATTCTCCCACATTTCCCAGTGTAGACCCATTTTAAATGCTAATTTTGGTCTTTTATATAAAATGAAACAATTATACATTAATAGTTAAGAAATATGGAAAAATAAAAGCACGGCAAACAGCTGATCATGCCAATCAGCTGTTTATCGACAGTTGGACAGTATTGACACTGTTGACCGCGTCCAATTCCCCTACTATAGAAAATACTATAACAACAGAGCGGCGTTGTCAGATTAAAAATTAATCCTAACGGCTGATGAAAAATGACGAAATTTACAAATATTTCAAGTTTATTTTTCTTGTAATCTTGACTGAATCTTAATAAGTACTAAATAAAATTATAAATGTCGAAATTTTGAAAAGTAGTAAGCTAATTATATTATTATTTTCTTAAGATTTCCCCAAAGTATACGTATACAAAATTAAAAATAAACAAAAGCGAAGATATACTTGGCAACATACCAAACAATAACAATAGGATGTTGGCATTCGCATAAAATGTAAACAGTTCCCCTGTGACTGAAACTGAATTTTATTTACACAATACTTTTGTCCAAACAAATGAATCGTTAACCGCAGGGGGGTGACAGTGAAATAGGAAAATTGGAAACAGTCATTAGTGTCATTCCTGTCATTCTCCTCACGAAGTATGGCCGCCTAGACAAGGACAGCATTGTTTTTGTCTAACTATTGTCTAACTTCACAGTTTAGAATTGACAGATTTCAGTTTCAGAGACAACTTCAGATTTGTTCTAGAACAAATTCGAAAATATTCGACGCCATTTTAATTCATTCCGTTTAGTTTCGTTTTGGAAGTTCAATTTAATATTTCGGCTGAAATTTATAAATATAAAGGTAATAAAGTATGTAAAATATATATTACATGAAGAATCCTGGAGAAAATGACGTTTATGCAGGAGTAGGTATGTCCCAATGAATAAAAAAACACAGGAACGAGCGTTTCGTATCTGTCACTAAAGTATGCGCGAGACAAAATCGGCCATATTGGTCCTTCGAGTATGACTCATTCTGTTGTCATTTTTTATCGCCCCAGTTCGCCAAATCAGAGGCCAAATTCGAGTGTTCCGAAAATATGGTTAGCTGTGCCGCTTGTGGCTATTCCCTGACACCAAAACATAAAGATGATGGTGTTACATTTCACAGGTAAGAATTTTAAGCCAATAAAAGCTTATTTTATTTAACTGCTTTGTAAAGGTTAACCTAACCTACAAAACTACAAATGACAAAGCTTGCCTAGAATCATAGGCGTAACTTAGGGTTTGTGTTTTGACTGTTTGGGTTAAAAACTTGGATATTGATTATCATATTATTATAATATATTTCAGAGACAAATTTTTAACTGTACAAAACTACAAAAAGAAAATACTTTCATTATTGGGGTTTAAGGTGACCCGGGGTTAAATATGACAATAGGTATTTTCAATAATCTTTTTAAAATTATACTTTTGTTCTAGCTTTCCTAAAATCAGACGAGAAGATCGCAATGGGTAAATTTTGTCAAAACTCTGAGTTTATCCCCTCAAAAACAGTAGTGTACACACAATGTATACGAAATTAATTTTATTTAAAGGCCAATAAATTTGTATTTTGACTTTTATTTATTTACCTTTTCCCCATCCGTTTTCCCTTTTTTTTAGTTACATAATAATATGTAGGTATAATAATATTACCTATGTTCAATCACTAACTCATTTATAATCCGTTAAATATAAACAAATTAACTCTATATTAAATAACATAAAAGTAAAAATTTATTAAAACTCTGACCTGCCAAGGTTTATCATTTTTATTTTTTTTTCGTGACTTATTTTATTATTATTATAATTATTACTCTACGCCACTGCTACATCGAAAACAGGTCGACCACGTGGGTCGGCCATATGCAACCTCCACTTTGATCGCAGCGATGTGACGTTATGCTCGTTCCTGTGTTTTTTTATTCATTGGTATGTCCCATGTATATGAAAAATAGGTAGTAAATAAACACTGTTTTTACATTTTTTAGATGCAAGAAAATGGTGTTATAATCTCTTTGATCGGCGATTTTTTTGAAAATGGAAACAATTTACAGCAATATAATAATATAATAATAAATAATTTTTAACTATAGCCAACATTAGTTATCTCGAGTATGTGCGATTTATTGTCCATAATGCAATAAATCGGAAAATCTCTTTTTTGCATCTTTTTGATTTATAAGCTAGGTTCTTTGGGAATAATGGACGCTTTTTTTTAAACAGTATATTTATATTTTATACCTATTGATATTTTTACATTGTTAATTTTAGTATAAAAAAATTGTTTTTCTGTTTTCAGGTTTTTGTATAAGGCTCCCGTTTTCATATTCCTGTGTCCGTTTTCTGTCCTTGAAGTTTGCGAATGCTTGTGTTTATTTACAAATTACTGTAAGTCATGCTTATACCTTAACTAATTTACGTTAAAAGTGCATATAATTAACTAATTGGTATTGAAACAATACAATCCTCTATATTTTTATATTTATTTAGTCACGTTGTTCCATATTTCAAATAAATATATGTGAATAAATTATTTTTGGTTTTATTTATGAAAAGAAAAATACAAAATACATTTGAAATGAAAGAGGGCCCGCCATTGAATAACCGGAAACGGAAATGAAAATTAAGCCATCATGTCCTTATCATGTCAACCTGTCAATTGGAAAGTTAGTTCTCCAGACGACAACGAAGGCTTTCGGTGGCGTATCGTGTTTCCACTTTACCCTTTGAATAAGTGTGCGTTCCACTAAGCGCTCATAATGCTCAAAATATGCCTTCGGTCGTTCCACATGACGATCGCGGACGTTGTGGTCGCGGCGTAAACGTCACTAATGACGTCATTATTTTCGCTCACGTCGAGCTCACAACGACCCATCTGAATATTAGGATCGGGGCGGACGCTTGAGGAATTTTGGCGCAATTTTTAAAACTTAGACAAAAGATTATCGACTTAGGATAAAAATTTTCATAGATTCTCATAGCCAATAATACGTGGCCTAAGTGTTCGCTTTTACGTCGCGATTTTGTAAAATTGCATTCCACTATTAATTCGTCTGAACTGAACTAGATGAAGAAGTTTCAGACACATTCCGATGCACCAAATATCCAACTGTCGCCAAAGACATTTTGATTTCTTTTTTAGACAGATTTTTGAATTCTCTTCCGTGATTTTGACTATTATTTACTATTTATGGGACACATACATGGGGGGGATACATTGACAGGATTGACGCTTAAAACGCCCCATAACCCATTCCACTTGAGTTTATGATTGTAACGCTCGCAAGCAGGTGGAACGGGAAAAATCGCGATCTTGAGCGTGAACGTTATGAGTGCTTAGTGGAACGTACTCTAAGAAGACTAAGGAAGGAGCATAATCACAAAACACATACACAAGGAGAAGTGCGAGCGCCTTGCTAAATATTGGAAAGTGAAATTGACGTTTAAATTTGACACTGTTGACAAGTCTACTGCTACTAGCGCCCCCAATATCGCTTGTAGGAACTACGGACTAGATTGTAACGCATGGCGGGAAGTTTAAAACAATAAAAAATTTTAATTCTTCATTTATTTTTAATTATGACATACATAAAAACACAAAAAATACACCATTTTTTAAAAATATGTTTAATATCAATATCAAATATACAACAGAAATTAATTTCACCACAATAAATTAATAAAATTAAAAAATAATGTTACAAGTAGATCAAGAGACAAAATTAATTATAACAAAACTGAAAAAAATGGCGTCATAGATGGCTTAGAAATGACGATATATATCATAATTTTGAAAGTAAAATTATATAGGAAATGTCATCGATCATCATTTTGAAGCCAACTGGACGATTATTTCAAACATACAAGCTGAGTTCGTTCATAGTGCTCTGAGAAATCTAGATAAACAAAGAATAATAAATTAAAAGTATTCCAGGGAAAAAGAGAGGAAAAACCTGTATCGTCTCTGATATCTGTCAGGGTTTTGTTGAAAGTGTCATCTTTTTGCTCGAAGTTTTCAGGTCGATTAAAAAGATGACATTTACAACAATACTTTGCCGTAACTTTCACAAATATCAGAGAGAGAGTACAGGTATTGCCTCTCTTTTCCTCTGGGATGCTTTATATCTGTTCTTCTTTGTTTACCTATATTTCTAAGAGCATAATGCCAAACACGACTACAGTATATAATAATTTCAATATCCTAAGTGGAAAGAAAAAAGATCACCTTTCTGTTTTGTACTATGGTCCCTTTCTTCCGATGGCTCATCTCGTTGATATTTAGGAAGGTATCCATAAAATATATATTTTATTATCGGTCCTGGGATGAAAAAATATAAAATTCAATTAGATTTGATGATCCTTTTCTGTCACCTAAATCAGGAGAATGACAATGAGCATGTTAAGATGAAAAAAAACTTATTTATCAACACTTACCTACACGTTAGTCCAAGGAGTTTTATCAATAACCTATATTTGCCTAAATAACAGAGAATAGGTACATTAAAGAAATGCTAACTTCATGTTAAAAAATGGAAACAGACGCCACCTGGTGTCCCCTGGCAGTACTAGCTAAATTGAGGGGAATTGAAGGGGCGGGGCTTAAAAGAGGGGAAATTTAAAAAAAAAATATTTTTATAAGTATCACTGATTTACTGTTTAAAGTTAATAAACATATTTTTTATTACTTTAATATAATTTAAAGTATTAAAAAATATGTCTATTAACTTTATACAGCAAATCAATGATATTATTAAAGACTTATTATTTTCAGAGAAAATTCATAGTAAATAAATTACACATTCAGTAAACAATATCATTTATTTTTTAGAGCTGCAATAATAATAATATTTATATTACAATAATATTGAAATATATATATTTTTTTAACAATGAAAAAGAATATCCGGGAACCTGAAAAAGAAAGATGATCAATTAATGACTTAAATTAGTTCAAAATACATTTTGCAAATAACTAGTGAATTGGAAAGATAAACATACTATTAAAAATACATTTCAGTAGTATGTTATCATCTATTTACTGATAATACATAAGTATATAATAGGTAAATAAGATGCATAAGGCACTATGATACAACTACCTAGTAGTTGTATCATAATGAAACACTATCTAGCCTCAATGCATGCAATTCCAAAGCAAAAAAACTATTAACCAAATAAATATAAGCTGAATAAAACATAAACCAAGCCAACGTGCATAAAAAACCAAAAAATGCATCAAAAAATACTTTTATCAGATCATACCCTTGGATATATTATGTATTTTATATATCGCACATCCCGTTCAAAAGTTTACTAACTCAAAATAGAGAATATAGAGAACATTGTCAAGAGAAGTAAAAGAAAATTTAAGTTAAGGCAATATGCTCCTTTTTGGATATTAATGGCCAAATAATATAATGTTGATTTAATAAAATTTTACTGGCATCCTTCTGAGGTATAAATCAGATTAAAAGGACATTGTTTTTGTAATAATTGTTTGTTTTGTAAACATTTTTTGAAGACAATACAGTTTTGAACGGGCTGTGCGATATAAACAAGGATCTTACTATTATTTGAGGTTAGAAAGTATTTAAATAACATAAAACATAATCAAAATCATTTGTCATCATAAATTATAGAGGTACTTACGTGTTTTGATATTATTATCAGGAAATAATACGTTTAGTTAAACAGGTACGCTGCCAGGCAAGTTCTATCGGCGGGTCTTTGCAAAAGTTGAAATCTAAAAATACAAAACTACGTTTACATCTTAGTTGTATTTACGAATAAAGTATTTGTGTGTAATTTCTGACTTACCAGTTAATTGAATAATCGCATTAAATACATCCAAATGGTAATTTAATATTGTAAAAAGCAAAATTGTTTTAAATCACTTGCCAGGACAGCCGGCCAGCTTCTTTGTTGGCAAAATGGCCGCGGTATCATGATTTAAGCAATGTGAGTGACAAAGAAAGCCAATGCCTGGCAGATGTTGTTTTCTTTGTCGTTTATCCTGGCACGTTTAAATTTGACTGTTGCCTGTTTTCCCATACAAGTGAGGGTGCAGCCACACTATCCTAAAAACGGCGTATCGGCGTAACGGCGTAACGACCTTGAATCGATTTCCAGTAATTCTATTGGCTGAAATATTTGACAGATGAATTTGACAGATAAAATTTCTGACAGATGAATTTTTCAGCCAATAGAATTACTGGAAATCCATTCAAGGTCATTACGCCGTTACGCCGATACGCCGTTTTTAGGATAGTGTGGCTGCACCCTGACACCTCCGTGAGTGACACTATCGCGATTTATCGAAAGACTCTAATGGTGGGTTCATACAGCCAAATAAAATAAAATAAGAATAAAATAAAATAAGAAATAAGGAATTCTTATTTGTGTGCGTTCATACAGTCAAATAAAATAAAATAAGAAATATATATTTGCTCATGCGCAGTACGATGAGGCTGGATAAAAGTTAACTTTTACGATTGTTTATAGTAATTTTACTATTTATAGTATATTTATTTGTTCGTTGCCTACTATATTATATATTTTACTTATGTGAAATTATAAAATAAATTAAATCCAAACTGAAAATATTTGTAGGTTAGAATTAAGCGTCCGCAAAGCCGTTTAAAATAAAATAACACATAAAATAAAACAAGAAGTTAAAAGATAAAGACTTCTTATTTTATTTGTTATTTTATTTGGCTGTATGAACGCATGTACGGTATCCCATATAACCAACTTTCTTATTTTATTTTATTTTATTCTTATTTTATTTTATTTGGCTGTATGAACTCACCATAAAATAGTTGGTTGTGTAGCGTGCGGTAGATCTCGGCAAAAATTGAGTGAAATAATGGAACAACTTTTCGCTAGTAAGTGACTATATAATATACATACGTGTAGTAAACCGATCATTTATGAAATTCACTTAGATTAACTAAATTATATATTTTTCTTGCATTTTAGCTTTTATTTATTACTTGTCAAAGATTAGATGTCAAAGAATTTAGATACGTTAATTTGACTTACCTGCTTCAGTAGCGTATCGGATGTTTGTGGTAATAAATACTTATTATAACTTATCTATTTTTATTAGAATTATATATTTTTATAACAATTTTAATAACTACCAACATTTATTCACAACGTAAAATAAAACAACAAATTATTGAGTCTACCCCACGTCTACCCTACATCATAGTTTTACATTTTTTAAATAAAATTAGAACGACACTGATAAACCAGAATTTAAGTCGGCCATATTTGAGGCCCATCGCGGTGTACCTAAGATTTTTGATATGCTCCTTCCTTAGTCTTCTTATTCAAAGACTTTACCACTTTGTGTTTCCACGATTTAACACAGAGTTGACACTTCTTTCTAGTTAATTATTTTATGGTTAACCGCGCATACTTCTCGAAAAGTAAAAATGAAAAAATCAATTAAATATTTCACTGTTGAGAATAGACAATTAAAATTAAAAAACACGCAACTAACAAAGACATGCCAGGAGTTACAAACAAGAATTAAAGAAATACCAATAAAATATTTATTTAACAATATAAAGAGGCTACGTACAAATTATGCCCATCAATGGGCGTAGCAAATTTTATTAATATTCAAATTTCACAAATTAATAAATCCACAATTTTTTTTAAGAAACTTTTATTTTTTTCATGGCAGGAAACAAAGTAGGTACCGCATTGTATTTTATACGGTTACAAAGTGAATTGGTAAACATTTTAAATTCAAAATGAACAGAACGCAATTTGTACCTTTTGTGGGCCTTATTTATATCTTCAAAATGTATTGTTAACTTATTTTCGATATACTCATTTTATTTACTTTTATAATTATATTTAAATTAAGAGTATAATGATTTGTGAATTTAATTTTTAATGTCTAGATACAACATTAAATTTTACTAAATATTTAACATTAAATCTAACTAATATTAAAGTTTGTTAAGATTTTTAATTAGATATTCCTATTTAGCTGAATGTCCTAATATGTATACTACTGTTTTTTTTTTCACAACTAAAATATGTTAAAATAATTAATCACATATATACATACCTAAAAGGATCTCTAGGAAACAGAAAGAAACTTTTATTGAACAACAAAAATAAAACTACTAAAACAAATTATATTACATAATAATAATAATAGCTCCCGTATATAGCGTTTAACGCCTTGGGAGTAGCAAGGTACAGCTTGCCATACTAGAGCCGTTCGGTATACAAAGGAAGGTAATGTGGCTAGCACTACGCTTCAACCGCCTATTATTACCTCAGGATTGTGAATTCCAAGTACTCATTTAAGGCTGAGTCGACCTAGGTACCCAAACTATTTTTATTTTAATAAAAATTGTCGGCTGATAAAATGGGTGTGGGATTCGAACTCACTACCTTGAGATTGGTAGACGAGAGCCAGTACCTCTACGCCACCGGACACCTATTGGCAATTATATTACATAAGAAACGAAAATAAAACTAGAAAAAGCAAATACATCACATAATAAACAAAAATAAAACAACAAAAACAAAATATATCACTCAAGAAAAAATCAAAATAAATTAAGCCGCACGCTACTCACTCGAATCTGCCGTAACTGTGTGATGTCGCTGAAAAAACTACGACACTGTTTACTTTCTGTTGATGGAAACGCAAATGGCGGCGTGCGCGAGGATATGCGCATAGCGTTCCCGACAAAGCGAGTCGGCCTGCCCGTGGTAATAGAATGACCAGGTCTGTATAAGTAAATCTGGCAAACGTTTTTGGGGTAAGAGAGGCGGGAAAATAAGGATAAAATGTCTGATAATGGAAAAACGCAAACAATTGTATTTCTTGAGTTTAAATATCTTTGTTTAGGAAAGGTTTAGGACAGTTGTGGTTTGTGGTTCTTCCCTTTCGTGTTCTAGTTAATTATTTTATGGTTCTTCCCCTTCGGACTTCGGATATGGTTCGGATTTGTGTCTATGCAGATATGGAAGTGGTTTGGTTGTAACCAGGGTTCGGAAAACTACATGTTACTTTTAAAAACTACATAAACTACATTACATGTAGTTAATGTAGTTTATGTAGAGGGTGTAGTTTATGTAACCTATGTATGTAACTTTCAAATATCAAAGGTTTGAGGTGAGGTTATAATAAGTTGAAGCTTTAGAAAACACAATGTATTTAAGAAAACAGAAGAAATATGGCTTTAAATATAATATTCACACATCATATTATTTAGACCCCTCATACAAAGCAAAATTATTCATAATATCAATACATAGTTTATTAACGTAGTTTTCATGTAGTTAATGAACGGGAAAAGACGTAGTTTTTGAAGAAAAACTACACGTAGTAAATCAGGTAAATTACGTCTTAATTAACTACTTCCGAACCCTGGTTGTAACTTGGTTGTAACCCATGATACGTAACCTATCCCTTCTAATCTCTGATGCCACTATGCTTCGGAGGAATATGACGTACTGCTAGTGCCATTGCCATGGTCAATGACGTCATTGGTCATTACAGGTTAGAGGTTATTAAATTATCAAATCACAACAAATGGTTATTGCTAGCTTAATATAAGTTGAAAATTATGTTATAAGGATCTAAAAGTACATTTTTCTTGTTGTGTTTTCGTAATATATCTATATATAATGTGTAACGGTAATAATATCTGTCAATTCTGATAAATTATAATTGGAATTAATTTTGAAATATCCACTTCTAAGTTAGAAAAATCACCTTTTTTAGGTTGTTGTGGATATTTTAGTGCCTTTAAGCCACGATATAAACGCTTAGTGGATAATATCTTTCCAGTTAACCCTCAGGATGGTCTCGTTAAGAGTAATATGGAAAAACTTACATTTTATTCTCTTAGTTCACCTGAAAAATTGGACAGAATTGGGGAATATCTATACCAGAGAGCGGCTAGAGATAGTTATAGAAGAAGGAACGGGTATGCATATTATTAATAACGTCTCATAGGAACATTAAAAATTTGGGTTTTGTACTTAGTTTTGTGATAATTGCAATGGAAGCTATGGATTTGCTATTGGTAGCGTGTCATGCCCAAACATTGAATTTATTTGTGGAGAGCTTTTTAAAAATGGTGCAAAGATTATTAGAATCTACAGACCCAGAACTTCAAATACTTGCAACTCAATCGGTAAATTCAACAAATGATTTGATTGAATCGATGTGGATTGCTTGGGATGAATGTGAATCAGGTTTATTTTTATGAAATGTTTCATCCATATGAATAGCACAGAGGAAAAACAATGAGTGTCCAAAATTGATAAATTTTAAGGTTTATTTTTATGAAATGTTTCATCCATATGAATAGCACAGAGGAAAAACAATGAGTGTCCAAAATTGATAAATGGCCAGGAAAGTGGTTTTTAATTCAAATTGCACATGGACTTTTACTGTTTTTCCCATTTTTAAATGCCTGTTTCTATATGACGATATCGTTATAGATATCCCCGTTTATTTAGGTACCAAAAAGTGCAGTTTCTAAGAAAGAAAATATTAGGTATTAAAACCAAATTAGCAAAAAATTAACTTTCATTCTCTTTCCCTTGTGTTCTTCATATTTTTTTATACTTGTGCTTTAAATTTCTTTACAAATAGAGCAAAGTGATTCTGTTAATATTTAGAAAGCTTTGCTGTAGCAAAAACTATAATTTGTGTACCAAAAATAATATGGTCATTAAAAATGTTTTCACTGTTACATTCATCAGTGGTGCTCTGACAAATGTGGCCCTCATTCATGTGATCATATTTGTGATCAGAAAAGGGTTATATATATTATAGATATGTGTAGTGTTTCCGGAACCGGGAATTATGGTATCGCGCCCCTTATGAACCGGGACTTCCCGGTTTTTCGGTACTTTCGCTACTAACTAATTTTTGTTCAACGATAGTGCAGTTTATCAATCAGAAAGCAAGAAATAGGTTTTCAAAAAAATATCAAATTATTAACTTATCAGTCGTAAGAAAACTAACATGAACACAAGTAAAGAAAAATATATAGGTAACTTAAAATTCACATCAAACAACATAAACCAACTTAACCAAATTTCATTTTTTTTTATCAATTTGCCTTAAAACATTGCCTTAAAACAAATGCAAATATCTATTAGCAAATATCTATTAGAATCACAGAACACACTAAAGATTAGAATGTAACATAAAATATAACCATATATATATATATTTTTTTTCCTTTCTTGGGTATGAGGTTTTTTTTTATTAATTGAAAATGGAAACTTTTTTTTTTATTTTTTTTTCTTATTTCACACACTTTTTCTTATATAAACAATTTTTTTTCTTATTTCCATTTTCAATTAATAAAAAACCTCATACCTAAGAAAGGAAAATATCTTATATATATATATTTATATATATCCATTATATATATATATATATATATATATATATATATATATATATATATATATATATATATATATATATATATATATATATATATATATATATATATATATATATATATATATATATATATATATATATATATATATATATATATATATATATATATATATATATATATATATATATATATATATATATATATATATATATATATATATATATATATATATATATATATATATATATATATATATATATGGATATAATTCTAAAGGTTTAAGAAAAAGAAAAAAAAACTCTTATAAAATATAACTAATTTGTTGAACATGTATATAAACTTCACTAATTGCTAATTAACATTATGGGAACTTCAAAAGAGAAAAGAAGCAAGAATAAGAAAGAACATCACTACTATTTAGACGATTTTTTTTTGTGGGAAAGAGAATCTTGCATAAGACACCCAGCACTAATAACAGTAAACTACTGTCCTTAGTAGTGTCGGATTCTTACCGGCTAAAAAAAAAACACACTTCCCTAATGCTGATCATGGTGGAAACCGCTTCCGCATTACTTCGCCGTGATAGCTGTCTGTTTACTGTCTTCTTATATAATTTTCCTTTTCTTCTAATATTTGTCTTAGTATCCCTGCAGTTAGTTTCCACATTTCCTCTGTCCCGTACGAATTACGAATGTAGTCCCATCTCGTACATCTAAACAGTGTATGTTCTGTGTCATCACTATTTCCACAGTAGTTGCAACTATCTGAGTCCCGTTTCTTTCCTTCCGTTAGATACTTCATAAAGCAACCATGTCCCGATTTAGACGAGTTTGAATTCGATAGTTAGAAGGTATCAAAGGACTTTCTCACATAACAAAAAATATTTTTTTTATTATTATTACCTAGTCCCTATATTCTACATTCTACCTAGTACCGAAAGAATCGGGAACACAATCGGGAATTCATTTCGAGGCTCGGTGCTGTGATGGCCAAAAAGATTCCGGTTTTGTCGGTACCTTTGAGGACTTTCTCACATAACAAAAAATATTTTTTTTATTATTGTTACCTAGTCCCCTATATTCTACATTCTACCAAGTCCCGAAAGAATCGGGAATTCATTTCGAGGCCCGGTGCTGTGATGGCCAAAAAGATTCCGGTTTTGTCGGTACCTTTGGTATTGGCAAATTTTTGTTCAATGATTCTGCAGTTCGTCAATCAACAAGCAAGGGCTGGTTTTCAAAACCGATAAAAAATTGAGTTTTAAATGAAAAGAATATCAAATTGTCAAGTAAATAGTCGTGATATAGTTACCATGAACACCAATGAACATAAGTGAAGAAAAAAAAACGAAAAAAGCATAGGTAACTTAAAATTTACATCAAAGGACATAAACCAACTTAACTAAATTTGAAAAGAAAACAACATATCAATTAAAAATGTAAATGCGTATAAAACATAATATTATAAAAAAATTTAGCAACATTTTACTAAATAATAAAATAACATATTTAAACTTCAATAATTAGTTAGGCTTGATTTCGACCGCTAGAAAGTATCAATGGACTTTCGCCACATAACATAAAACATTTTTTTAATTATTGTTACCGAGTCCCGAAAGTACCGAAAGAACTGGTTCTTTGACATCTCCAAAGAACCGGGAATTCCCGGTATTTTCGGTACCGGGATTTTCCGGTTCTGAACCCTAATAGTGTGACACACATATATACCCTGGTAAGGTAAGTATTGTGCTCTTTATAATTTAGTTAAGTTGTTTTAATTAAGTGTTGTACATAAACTATGTGATATGTATAAATTCTAATTAAAATTAAAAACTATACTTAATACATCATTTTTTGAGGCCCTAAATATAAAATAATCAAGGATCAACGGTCTATTTTATATATCTAACATGCTAAAGTACTGAATAAATAAAGTTTGTAAATAGAGTATGTGGTTTTTAGTATATTCAAATATATATTCAATATTCAAATATTAATAATTGTGTTAATATTTGAATATTGAATATTTTTAAATATTTTAATATTCGAAAATTAAACAATAATAAAATAAAATTACCTTTTTGATTCCCGCTCTCCTCTTTCAATTTAACCGTTTCTATCCTTTTTGTGCATTGAATTTTTAAAGGCTGTTACTAAACTGCCGTTAAACGGTAGCTTACTAAAATGCCGTTAACAGGTATGACTTCGTTAATGTGACGCACTTGACGGCTTTATGAAATATAGGAATTATATAAGGACTAACCAAAACTATTCACCCCACCAAATAACCAACTTAACCAACGCAACTAATCTCGACACTGATAAAAAAAATTTAAAATACAAATATAAATTAGTAAAAACCAATCAACCCCACCAAATAACCAACTAACCAATGAATTAACACCCTCCAAATAACCACGCTAACCAACCCGCCAAATAACTAAACCAATCCAACCAAAAAGAGTGAAACCAATGCAATAAGGTCACGCTATAAGCCAAAAAAAATATAAAAAAGTGTTGGTCAGCGTGAGATTTGAACCCCGGACCATTCCCTCACGAACCGATAGCCTCAGCCACTACACGGAGCCATAGGTGCTCTTGTAATATGCTTATGGCTAGGCATTACTTTCCGCCGACATGAACGACGTCACAATATCTATTAACGGCATTTTAGTAGGCTACCGTTTAACGGCTGTTTAAGTACATCCATTTTTAAAACGATGTACTTAAACAGCCGTTAAACGGTAGCCTACTAAAATGCCGTTAATAGATATTGTGACGTCGTTCATATCGGCGGAAAGTAATGCCTAACCTTAGGCATTTTGCAAGAGCATCTGTGGCTCAGTGGCTGAGGCTATCGCTTCGTAAGCGAATGGTCCGTGGTTCAAATCTCACGCCGACCAAGGCTTTTTTATATTTTTTTTATCTTATAGCGTGATCTTATTGCATTGGTTTCACTTTTTTTGGTTGGATTGGTTTAGTTATTTGGCGGGTTGGTTAGCGTGGTTATTTGGAGGGTGTTAATTCATTGGTTAGTTGGTTATTTGGTGGGGTTGGTTGATTTTTACTAATTTATATTTGTTTTTTATATTTTTATCAGTGTCGAGGTTAGTTGCCTTGATTAAGTTGGTTATTTGGTGGGGTGGATAGCGTTGGTTAGTCCTTATAAAATTCCTATATTTCATAAAGCCGTCAAGTGCGTCACATCAACGACGTCATACCTATTAACGGCATTTTAGTAAGCTACCGTTTAACGGCAGTTTAAGTACAGCCTTTTTAAAAACTTTAGATTCAAATGGGTTTCTAAATTTTTATACTAACAAAAAAAGTGAGATATTTGAAAAAAAAATCCGAGAAGGCGACGGGTTTTTTTATAAATCTCCTACTGGGATCGATTAGGGCTTTTTAGGGGTTAAATAGGCGATCATTATTTATACATTCTCATTGAGATGTAGAATGTACAATGTTTAGGAGGGGCACCGCGACCTTACAGATCTATTGTGCGTCCTTTGTTTGTGTACCTCCTGCGAGGGTTACATTTAGCCTCCGTGCCTTTCACAGCCGAGGAGCTTGACTCCTGCTGAGGTATCCTTGAGGTGGAGGCAGTGGCGTAGCTACCTAGGGGCTAGGCGGGGCAGTGCTCCGGCGCCCTCAAGCTCAGGGGGTCCTCGAATCCTTACCAGAAATCTCGATCGAACTTTTGGAAATTTCTCCCATTTTCGAAATAAATATGACAGGTTGCAACCCCACTTTAATCATGACAACTCAGTTGAGAGAAATTCAAAAGTTATGCCTAGGGAATTCCCCTAAATTCTTTCTGTAGGTTGGCAGTGTTGTCAATTTGATGGATAGTGATATGTGCGTTTCATTATTGTAAGGAAATATGGAGTGCTAGAATGCGACATAACGGAAGCAATGTTATTATTCTTTACAATTCCTGTTACTTCTGCAGCAGCTGAAATGTAATTTAGTAAATTAAAAATAATAAAAAATTATTTAAGAAATAATATGAGTCATTGATACTTTTGCGAAAACTAAAGCTAGGAAAAAATTGTAAATATAATTGTTGGTAGGCCCGACCTTTATATAATAAGCCCTTGAATCTTCTCTATTTCGTTTTATTAACCAAACCTACACCAAGTATTAATTGTAATTTATGTTGTTACTGTTTAATATTTTTATTACCTGCCCTGCAGTGCACAAAAAATGCTTAAGTAGCTTAGCATTTTTTAAGTATTTGTATATTTCATATTTTTATTTGATAAAACCAGTTTAACATAGCAATGGGGCCCCATTTTTTAATTTGCCCCAGGGCCCTCGGTTACCTAGCTACGCCACTGGGTGGAGGCTGGAATAGAGATACAGTCTGGTATGATGGACCGGGTAGTTCCATTAGGCATCGTCATACGTGTTGGTGCTATTTCCTGGCAACGACACTACAGCCAGGGACAAGACAGTGAGATGCTCTTAAAACCCAAGTGCTCCCCTATGTAAAAGAGGGGATTGCCCCTGGCATCTGACTCGGAGCTTCGCCTTCCCTACCAACGACAAGGTCTCGAAAACGATGTGCAAGTTTGGAAAAGTATAAACGGGATTAATCATTATAGAACAAAAATCTTTTATGAAAAAAATAGTAAAACAGTTTTTCCTCTTGTAAAGACAATCCGGGGGCATACTTTATATATAACTTGGTGATTTCCTGATTCACATTTATTTTGATTTGCCTTAATTTACTTATATGGTTTTAACATTAGATTTATGCCTACTATTTTTTAACTTTAGTTTGTTAAATTTGCAAACATAGAAGAAGATACTCCATCCTATCACAGGCGTTACGATTTCTTCGTAAGCAAGTTTTCAGCAATGTGTCATAGTGGAGATAGCAAAGAAATTCGTGATAAAATAAGAATCGCCGGGATTAAAGGTTTACAAGCTGTAGTGAGAAAAACAGTGTCGGATGATTTGGTTGAAAATATTTGGGAGCCTATTCATATGGATAAAATTGTTCCCAGTCTCTTATTCAACATGCAGGTAAATCAATTTTGCGTATTTAATCGTTGCGTGAATATATTTTATATTCTATCCTTAATGTCTCTTACCAACTATTTTCTAAATATTACAGGGTTATTCACCACATACGACACTTAGTATTGTAGCTAAACGATTGGATTTTTACAAATTGTAAGTTTTGGCTTCGTTGAAGGACTATTAGGGCTACTATTTAAAAATATTTTTACAAGATTCAGAGTGTCACAAATAAATAAAAAATATTATAACTGTATTTTTTTAAACGGAGCACCATGTATATTATTTTATTTTTAAATTCTACGATAAGGTGCCCGGTGGCGTAGAGGTACAGGCTCTCGTCTACCAATCTCAATTAGTGGGTTCGACTCCCACACCCGGCATTGCATCAGCCGACTATTTTTATTAAAATAAAAATTGTTTGGGTACCTAGGTCGACTTAGCCTTAAATGAGTACTTGGGATTCACAATCCTGAGGTAATAATAGGCGGTTGAAGCGTAGTGCTAGCCACATTACCTTCCTTGTATACCGAACGGCTCTAGTATGGCAAGCTGTACCTTCCTACTCCCAAGGCATTAAACGCTATATACGGGAGCTATTATTATTATTATTATTAAATTCTACGATTGAAATAAAGGTAACACTTTTATCACACTTAAACCTTACCGTTTTTGAAATATATTCAATTTTGTGAAGTTGTAGTAAAAATTTTAAAGCTTTATTTCTCCAAGGGTATGAAAGTTTTTAATGCTCAATATTTACTGAAGTTTATTTATTGATCAGATATAATATAGTGTCTAAACATTTATGTTAAATAATTACTAGCTTTAAACGGCTTTTTTAGGAGGGGAGTTAGTCACCGCGACCTTAAAGATCTATTGTGTGCTATAAACGGCTTATAACTTGTTTAATTTAAATGGTACACCCTGTATATTTTACGAGAATCAGATGCACAATTTAATGGTCTATCAAATTGTGCCATGCCATTTTTTATCCATCTCTTCAAGTTTTCGTAGAAAATGCATTTTTTATAATTCAGATCTCATTTATCACTATACCCATGGAATATTGACATTTTAGATTTTTTTAAAGCAACTAAGAGAAGGTAAAAAATATAATACAGTTTGATAGACAATTAAATTGTGCATGTGATTCTCGTAAAATATACATGGTGTTTTATTTAAATTAAAGAAGTTATTGCCGTTTAAAGCTAGTAATTATTTAAAATCAGTTTTTAGACTCTGTATAAAGGTAGTATAATTTTTATTGTTCCAACACAAAATTTAGTAAACAAAAAAAAACTTCAGTACACTATGTAGTTTTAAAAACTTAAATATGCTGAGAAAGGAAGCATTAAAATTGTTTTGTTGTTTTGACAAAAACGGTAAGATTAAAATGCATATTTACCTTTACTTTAATCGGAGAAACTACTAAAAATGTAATAATATACAGGGTGTTCCATTTAAAAAAAATACAACTTTGATATTTTTTATTTATTTGGGACACTCTCTATCTTGTAATAATATTTTTAAGTTGTATCTCTAACATCCTTCAACGACGTAAACACCTCAGTCCACGTGTCGTAAAACACCTCAGTTTTAAACGGAGAACAAGTTTATGTTTTGTATATTTGTTGTTATTTTGAAAAAGTGGTTTTGTCAAACACATTTTGATGTGAATGCAATAGAATATTTTTCAATAACTTATTTAGGATTCAAGTTTTCATAAAGATCCACCGAATAGTGATACTGTCCCAGAAGATACAATAGATCCACCTATGTTAGCAGAAACATGCATGCGAGAATTAGTTGGAAGGGCTTCATTTGGTCATATTAGAGCAGTGTTGAAACCTGTATTAAGGTAGTAACGAATTGATAACTGAAAACAAAATTTATTTCTTTATTGTGTTTTAGGCACTTTGATAATCATAAATTATGGGTACCTAACGAATTTGCGATACACACGTTTAGAATTATTATGTTTTCGATTCAGGTATGAAATAATAACTACAATACTACATATTTAGTTGCTATATATTTTACACTCACATTCGTTTTCGTACTCGCACCGAATCTGTGGGAATAATATTTACCACCTGAAAAAATAAATAAATAAGTACAGGGTGGTCAGAACTGTATTCTGGAAACTTCGGCAGCATATTTTCCAGATAAAAATAAGTAAAAAAACTTTGTATAAATGTCCTAAAATGCTTATTTTCGGAGATAAAGGGTGTAGAAGTTTCATCTTATTTCGATTTTATCCAAATAATTTCTGAAGTAACGTCAATATTTGGATAAAAATTGGTACAGTACGTCTGTCCGTTCTGTAGCTACGGGGTATCAGTGAGAGGGGAAACGATATTCTCTCGATGTTTTTCGTAAAAAAATAGACAACGCGTCCCATCAATAAAAATTCAACAAATTTGCCAGTAGCCAATAAAATGAGTGGGCGGAGCGATTTGCGGTGACGCACTCGTCAAATCGACGTATAAAATATATTGCTGTTTATTTAAATGTTTTTGTCCGCATTCCTTTCATAGACACAGACCCAGCAGATGTACTGTATCTGATAGTTTTTTGACAAGAGGAATTTGATTTTGATGTCAATATGACTCCTACTGGTAGAGGGCGGTATGTACATGCGTTTTAACTCATTTGAAGAGTAATAACTTTTTGTCCATATTTGTATAAAACTACCGAGTGAAACATATTCATTTCTGTGATTTTGACGTAAAATATGTATCTTGGTAAAAATCGCTACGAGCAACTGTTCTCAAGATATTTAGAATGGGAATAGTCAACACCTGTCATTATTGACAAAAAATAAACATATTGAGTAGGTAGTTATTTGACTGAAATGAGGAATTTTTTATTTTTCTATAATTAATCATAAATTTTTCTTCGAAAAAATGATGATAAAACAGTTTCTGTTGAACTTTTGGCACATAAATATTTCAAATTTTTTATTTAAGGTAATAACTATTTAAGCCTGATTTTCATACATCCGTCGCCCGACGATACGTTGATACGATATTAATTTTATTGGTAGAATTTAAATACTTTGATTGGTTAGAAAATAACGCAGTTTTTAAATTTATTGCATTTTCATGCCTCCGTTTATCGGATATACGTTGGTGTCATTTTATATTTTCGTTTCCATAACGATTTTGCTATTTTACTTATATTTTTATTAAGGTTAGATTAAATTTGCCAAAAAAGTGTCAAAACGTCCGTTATCGTATGAACTGGTCCGTTGACGGGCTGAAGTCAAATATTTACGAATAAAAAGTGGCGCGAAAACACTATGACCAATCGGAGCACCGTCGGACCATCGTATCAATGTATAACGGATGCATGAAAATCAAGCTTGAGTCGATGTGTTTAATTTATGTCAATGATGACAGGTATTGATAATTTCGATTCCAAATATCTCGAGAACCATTACTCGTAGCAATTTTTCCAAACAGACCTTTTTTACGTAAAAAACGTCGTAAATGTATATTTTTTTACTCAGTTTTTTAGTCCATACAGGTATGGACGAAAAGATTACTTTTCAAATCAGTTAAAAAATATGTAGGTGGCGCCCTCTATAAGTTAGAGTCATATAGATGTCAAAATCAAATTTCTCATATCAAAAAACTCCCAATTTTCATACAAATATTGACGTTACTTCAGGAATTATTTGGAAAAAATGGAAATAAAAATGAAACATTTATATGAACTTTTTTACTTGTTTTTATCAGCAGAATAGGCTTCTGAAGTTTTCGGAATACAGTCTCGACCACCCTTGTATTATTGTTAATATTATCTACAATAGTTTCCTATATACTTTATAGGCTCAGTATTCATATACTGTAGTGGAAACTTTGATGGCACATTTAGATGAAAATGCGAAGTCCAGTCCAACTATTCGTACAAGCATCGCCGAAGTACTTTCTAAAATTATAGCTATAGCTGCAGGTGAAAGTGTTGGTAAGATTTTTTTTCCAAGTATCTCTCTTTTATTTACTTAACTGAATTGCTTTGTTTACAGGACCTTCTGTCTTAGAAATTATTAACTCTTTATTAAACCACCTAAGAGATTCTGTGAGACATGAAACTAGCCAGTCAGAGGAAAAACAATATCAGGAAGCTTTAATCAATGCTCTTGGTGAATTTGCAAACCATCTACCAGATTACCAAAAAATTGAAATAATGATGTTTATTATGAGTAAAATTCCGTTCCCGCTTGTTGATAATCAGACTCCTGCCGATAATATGTTGCAAAGCATTTTACTCAAGAGTTTACTAAAGGTATAATTTTATTACATTATTGTAATTACTGTTTATATGTATTTTCTATATTAGGTCGGAACTAAATACCAAACAATACATTTGAATACTACATTTCCAGTATCATTTTTGGAACCTCTTTTACGTATGTCTTTAGCACCAGATCCAGAGATGAGACTATTGGTACAGAAAATATTGCATACTCTTGTTGATAGACACAACAATTTGGATAAGTTAAATAAGCCCGTGTAAGTATTTGATTGACTTCCAGAAAATCCTATATGGGTAATTAGCCACTGCACTGCAAGAAAATCTACTAAATAAAATAGTTATTTTTTGTAAACACTTCTGGCGTTAAACCCAAACAGAAACTACATGTCAGAAGTTATGTTTACAGTTATACAAATTTGCCTAACAAAAAGAATGTGGCGGATTCATCTCTTTTGCCTAGCAAAGAGAAAAATGCTTAAGCATTTTTGTTAGGCAAAAGAGATGAATTCGCCACATAGGTACAGACATTTTTTATTTGATTGATATACCGTATGATCAAAAAAAACGGCGTCCAGTTGGCTGGTAAATAATGATCCATGACATTTTCCATATAAATCTACATATAAAATGACAGCGATCTTCGTTTTATAGCCATCGCTGACGCCCGTTTTTTCGATCATACTTAATGCCTGTCTAACGAGAGGTTACATAACAGTGGCAGTTTTTGTCTGACATTTTAATTGATAGGTAAACTGCATTATCTGTCACATTTTGAATGCCGTTTGTCATAATTTTTTTGAAATCTTTAAACCGCGTTCTCAGAACCTCGTACGCCGGCGAAACGTCAAAAGAACCAATGAGTTTTGTGCAAAATTCAACCAGGTCCTTCTTTTGCCTGATAAAAATGAATAAAACATAGATATGTAAATGCTTCTTAAATGTGACAAAACTTTTCTAACTGGGTAGTGCCGTCGGCGACAGAACGTAGTTCTGAGAACGGGTCTTGAGTACTGTTGTCACAGTGCGAGGATTGAAGCAGTATGTTTACTCTCTTCGATTCAATATTTATAATATGGATTATAGTCTCAGACAAATAATGTATAAAATATCCAAGTCTTATTGTACAAAATGAAGATGCCCAAGATGTACAAAACGGATGTAAACAGAAAAATGCTATGCTAGCACTTATTTATTATAAAAGTTTATTTATAGATTTTTATCTACAGATATAATATATGATCGAAAAAATAACGGCGTCCAGTTGGCTTGGAAATGACTATCAATGACATTTTCCATATAATTTTACATATAAACTGACTGCGATTTTCATTTCGTAGCCATCGTTGACGCCGTTTTTTTTTCGATTATATTGGCACCGGCAAAAAAAACCGGCCACTAAAAACTAGTCCCAATTTCAGAGTTGGATTTCTCGCGAACCACTCATTAGATCTTAATGATTTTTTTTTAAAATTGTAAATTAATTCCTTCTTAACGGATGCTACGTCAGAAATTTTTATTCCGAATTTATTTTGAGCATATACAGGGCACAACAATAAGACGAAGTTTTTTGCTTGAACTTTGTAACACCCTGTAGGGTGAAGCAGCTGTAGTAGCTATTGCTAAATCAAACCACATTGTAGCCTCATCTTTTGTGAGCATTGTATTTTTTTAATCACATTATCTCTATTTGTATTGGAGATACGCTGCTTTAAAACGAACGTCTCGGAAAAATGCTTTGTAGACAAAACTGCGACCAAACCAATTCACATGTAAACGCGCAAAGTGAAGACGTGCTCGACGATGTCTTGGAAGTAGCTGGGGTCCTGTGGCAGGCCTCCTTGCAGACAAGCTGTTTTCTTTTAGTCTTCGTTGGATTGTTTTCTCACTGACTTGAGTTCTACGCACGGCTTGTAGCAGATGTTGATTCTGAAACGCTGTAATTCTACGATTTCGTAAAGTATTCAGGACAATTAAAGCTGTCGTCAATTGCATTTGTCTTCCGTTTTCTTCCGGAACCCACTCGCCTGGTGAAATTTCCCGTTTCCATATACCGATTCCAGGCATCGACTGTTGTTCGAGGTATACCCAGGGTATCGGACACATAAAGTTGACTTCGGCCATCTTCAATTAAAGCCACAATACGAGCATCATCCGACACAGATAATGGCATTTTTTAATTTGACAATCGTTGTTGTCATATTGCAAATACTCATAAATCCGTTTACGCCTATGCCGCCTTGATTATTTATACATAAAACTTTCTGCCTGCGAAGCATTTTTCCGAGACGTTCGTTTTAAAGCAGCGTATCTCCAATAAAAAGAGAGATGCTGTCGTGATTAAAAAAAACAAAATGCTCTCAAAAGATGAGGCTACAATATGATTTGATTTAGCAACAGCTGCTACAGCTGCTGCACCCTACAGGATGTTACAAAGTTCGGGCAAAAAACTTCAACATCTGCTACAAGCCGTGTGTAGAACTCAAGTCAGTGAGAGAACAATCCAACGAAGACTAAAAGAAAACAGCTTGTCTGCAAGGAGGCCTGCCACAGGACCCCAGCTACTTCCAAGACATCGTCGAGCACGTCTTCACTTTGCGCGTTTACATGTGAATTGGTTTGGTCGCGGTTTTGTCTGCAAAGCATTTTTCCGAGACGTTCGTTTTGAAGCAGCGTATCTCCAATACAAACAGAGATAATGTGATTAAAAAAATTCAATGCTCACAAAAGATGAGGCTACAATGTGATTTGATTTAGCAATAGCTACTACAGCTGCTTCACCCTACAGGGTGTTACAAAGTTCAAGCAAAAAACTTCGTCTTATTGTTGTGCCCTGTATATGCTCAAAATAAATTCGGAATAAAAATTTCTGACGTAGCATCCGTTAAGAAGGAATTAATTTACAATTAAAAAAAAAATCATCAAAATCTAATGAGTGGTTCGCGAGAAACTTTGAAATTAGGACTAGTTTTTAGTGGCCAGTTTTTTTTCTCGGTGAGTTTATAATAATCCATAACATAACGCAAAATTGAAGGTCTATGTTAATACAATACAAATAACAGCGTTTTCAGATGGAGCGGATCGTCCGCGAAGGAGCGTCCGCGTAGTGATGGGTTATTATTTAACTATCTGTTATTTTATAACAATTATTTATAAATAACATAACGCAACCGTTACTACTTTTAAAAAATAACAGATATAAAATAACGACACGCAGGGATGGACCGTTCGTGAAACGAAGTCGGCGCTCTGCACCGCCACGAAATTCAATGCTGCTCGAAGCAATTCCAAAAAACAACTAGTATTGATGGAAAACATGTTATGGGAGTGGGGTATGCGCTACAGCCCGGGCGGCGAACGTAGCTGCATCCGTCGATGGTCGTGTTGGGCTTGCAACAGCTTAAAAATAATAGGATATAAAAGAAGCAGCTTTTTTGAAACAGTTGCGGGCATAACGCCTGGCGGTAGAGATAACAGGAGTGGGAAAGGAACGCTGCTGCATCGGTCGATTGTCGATGGAGGCTCGCAACGGGTTGGAGAATAACGTATAGAAAATAAGCAGTCATTTTAGATACGCTGTTTTTTAACCTGTTACGAGCATAACAGAGCGGCGGTCGAGATAATCGGAGTGGGAAAGTAACGCTGCTGCATCGGTCGATTGTCGATGGAGGTTCGAAACAGGTTGGAGAATAACGCATCAGTTGTTTTAGATACATTGATTTTCAACCTGTTACGAGCATAACGGGCGGAGGTCGAGATATGGTTTCAGTACGTTATTAAGTTTCAATATTTAGGTATTTATTTATTCTGAAAAATTTTCGGAATAATATTTTAAGATTTTTTAAAAAAGTATACAGGGTGTTTTGAAAAATCTGGTCATTGATTAATCACGATCCTGCTTAAAGCCCTTGACGTAAAAAGCTGATTTTTAGAAAACGGATTGACTTTAGGGTGTAGAGGTTCGATAAGAAGAGATTTTTCGAAAATTCTAAGGGGGTGAAACCACCCTCAAATATTAGAATATTTTTTATTTAAGAACCGGTGAGTTTTTCAGAAAAACTCTTAAATACGTATATTTTATTTTGTTGATTTACATATTTTAATATTTTTAAAAATATATACAGGGTGTTTCATAAAATATGACCATTGAGTAATCACGATTCTGCGTAAACTGCTTGACGTTTAAAGCTGATTTTTGGTAAACGGATTGACTGTGGGGTGTAGAGGTTCGATAAGGAGGGGTTTCTCGAATCTCAAATTCCAAGAGGGCGAAAACGCCCCTCAAATATTACAATATTTGTTATTTGTTATTTAAAAAACGGCTAGTCTTTCGGGAAAACGCTTGGATACGCATAATTTATTTTGTTTTTTTACATATTTTGAAATTTTTTAAAAAATCATACAGGGTGTTCCAAAAAGTTGAGTAATTGATTAACCACGATTCTGCTTAAACTGCTCGACGTTTAAAGCTTATTTTTGGCAAATGTGAGAAAATTTTATCCAGTTTGTATGTTAATGGAAATTCTTGCTTTGCTTTATCATTGCCATTACAAATTATTAATTCGACGCGAACGAAGTCACGGGTACACGCTAATTTAAGTGTAAAATTAATTCGAGCTCTAGTGTGTAGTTGGTTTGCTTATGAAGAATATACTACATATTTTCTAATATTGCTATTTTTTGACTGCAAATGGTAAAATCATAACTAAGAGCTTCTCGCCCGTCGAGTGAGATGCACCCTGTACATTGCTACGCATTTCAGGCGGATCGAGGGGCAGGGCGTAGGTAGATCGGAATGTATAGGTATAGACGAGTGGCGGCATTTTGGCTTTTTTATATCGCAATTTGTAAACAGCGCTTATTTGTAAACAACCACCGTTTTTAGAGAGGTATTTTAGATAACAATCGATATTTAGAAATGTTTTGACACCCTGGAAATACTACCACCGAGCACGTCATTGTTGCAACTTGCAACTGCGTTAATACGCCCTGCGGTAACCGCCTCATACTCTTTCAGATATTTAGCAATAAAATAAAGAAACCTGTTATCTTGAAGCTGTTATATTAAGCTGTTTTTTATAAATAACTATAACAGTTTCAACTGTTATCTAAAAATAACAGTTTTGCCCATCACTACGTCCGCGCCTTCGAGCAAGTACCATGAGTTTATATGAGCAATTTCACATGGTCGCGTATGCTTCGTCCGACTGAGTTTGTCCGACGGCTATCTTAAAAAAACATCGACGGACGGTCCGTCGCGGACGCCCCGCTCCATCTGAAAGCGCTGTAAGGGTGTATTTTAAACAAAACACCACAGCAAAAAATATAAAAAAGAACTATTTCTTACTTTCAAACTTCAAGGAACTTTTAAATAAATATAATAAAATATTTTATTAATAAATCACTTACTGAATTTTATACTTTAAAAGTTGATTAACTAACTTGATGTTATTTTTTTTTAAACTAGTACTTTTTGTTATTATCTCTCTGCAGTACTAAAATCTATGATTTAGCTATCGTGTAATGTCCTTATTTTACATCTACTCCAGTTAGGACCATACATGACATGGTATACAGACTTTCGCAAATTTAATGTTTATCATCTTCCAGAAGGCAGGTTATTTGATATAATTTGACACAAATTATAACCTATGATTTGGCAAGAGTTTGACAAGCCTCAAAAATCTTTAGCCGTGTTCATACGCATCTGCGTCCGTGCATCGTTCATCGTTCCGTCACTCCAATAATATTGAAATATGATCTGTCATTTTTGAAATTAACCAATAAAACTGGTTAAAAACAAGAGACGACGCATGATGGATTTATATTATATAAACCCATCCATAGTTAATTTAAAAAATATTAGAAACTTTTAGTGAAATAAATTGATGGTATGGACGTCACCTGCTTTTTTTTCTGTTGTCTGTCGAAATCTTACCTGAGTAATAAGTTAAGAGTATAGTTACATTTGTTATTATATACAGTACTGTTTATTTTTTATGCAGAAGAATATATACATATTTTATGTTATATCATTTAACTTCTATTTAATGTAAATAATAAAAATCCATATACTCTTTCCGTTTTTATGAAAATCCCGAAACTATGCTAAAGAAATCAAATCTTTGAAAAAAGGATTATATTAACTCTGTGGTCAAATCAAACTCTAAATAAATAGTTTGTTTACATTTTTCTTTTACATGTTGGGGACATTTCATTCATTATGTAAGAGTAAAAATGCATGTGGTAGTTTTATACAGGGTGGCGCACCTCATTCGCCTCGGTTGATTATACGAAAATGGAAAGATATAGAAACAAAATATTTCATGGGTATATGTGAGGAGGGAATGTGCACAATTTAAAATTGTTTTGAAATGTACAGGATGTTTCAGAACTAAGATCCATACTAAAGTTATATTTTTTCTTATGGAACACCCGGCATTTTATTTTATTTTTGGATTCTTGGGCCCAAAAAAAGGTATTTATTATAAGGGTTTAATATGTTTAAAATCTTTGGTTTTTGAGATATTTAAGGATATTTAAAAATGCATGCTATATTAGAATAGATTATTAACACCCTGTACACTGCCCTTCAGAACTAATTCCTGCGCTGACTTTTAAGCCAGAGAAATAATCTTTACTGAAAAATTTGATTGCTTCGTTTGATGTATACAGGGGTACCAAAAATTGCTGGTCTATTTTAAATATTTATTTTACATAAAAACTTCGTTATTTCAAATACAACACACTGTATTTTTTAAAATAAATCCAAGCAGATTCAAATTCTCTTTCAAACTGTATTAGGGTTTCCTATACCTATCTAGCTCAGATTTTGAATAAAAAGCAATTTTTCAATAAAATGGCAATCAAGATGGCTGGTGTCGCCATGGCAATTTTCTAGTTAAAGTTAGTAACTCTTTTCAAAATCGACATTAGTTTATGGACATTATTATTTAGATTTATAACAGTTTACTTAAATTTAGCTACAGTAGTTTAATAAGTAAGTATTCATTATTTTATCAAGAAAAATAAAGCAGTATCTGCTGGTGGAACGAATGGATATGATACCAGTGATTTTATTTTGTGAGGAAAATTGGTTCTTGGCCTCAACGGCTTATGCTTAAAGATATCCAAATATGAATCTTCCTGATAAGCTTTCCTTGAAAAAATACTTTTCTATTTCGCAGAACTATGGTAGTGTGGTTTATAAAAACCTAGTAGGCAGAAACCTGTGGTTAGAAAATGAATTTGCCGTAATTGGTTCTTTTATAGATAATCCATATAGGTACCTATCTACAAGTGAACGTAAAATAAATGAAAGAATTGTTAATATAATCCTTTTTTCTTGATAGAATAATAAATACATATTTAATAAATATTATTTAAAAAACTACTGTAAGCAAATTAAACAAAAATAAACTGCTATAAATTTAAATAAAGTTCCATAAACTAATTTTGATTTTCAAAATAGCTACTAACTGTCACTAGAAAATTGACATCAGCCATCTTGATTGCCATTTTATTGAAAAATTGCTCTTTATTCAAAATCTGAGCTAGATAGGTATAGGAAACCCTAATATAGTTTGAAAGAGCATTTAAACCTGCTTCGATATATTTAAAAAAATACAGGGTATTTGAAATAAGGAAGTTTTTATGTAAAATAAATATTAAAAATAGACCAGCAATTTTTGATACCCCTGTATACATCAAACAAAGCAATCAAATTTTTCAGTAAAGTTTATTTCTCTGGGTTAAAGGTCAGCACAAGAATTAACTCTGAAAAGCAATGTACAGGGTGTTAATAATCTATTCTATTGTAGCCTGCATTTTTAAATATCTTTAAATATCTCAAAAACCAAAGATTTTAAACATATTTAACCTTTATAACAAATACCTTTTTTTGGGCCCAAGAATCCAAAAATGAAATAAAATACAGGGTGTTCCATAAGAAAAAATATAACTTTGGTATGTATCTTAGTTCTGAAACACCCTGTACATTTCAAAATAATTTTAAATTGTGCACATTGCCACCCCACATATACTCATAAAATATTTTGTTTCTACATCTTTCCGTTTTCGTATAGTCAACCGAGGCGAAAGAGGTGCGCCACCCTGTATATCTCAAGGTGTAATAAATATTAAATTAAATCATGTTCTCTTCTAACCAGCTTATCCGTATTGGACTTGGATCTTATTGTTGAAAAGTCTTCAAGACCTGATTTAATTTTTATAAATAAACATGGACCTATCATATATGACGCGTTATATACAAGTCTACAAATGGAAACAAATACTCCAGACAATATTGAAGCTATTTATACAACGTTGGCATTGTTATGTGTTGAGCTAGCGAGTACAGAAACAGTTATTGACATTCTGCAGTTACTTCTTGGGTAAAAATTTTGCAGTTTTATTATTTACGTATGAATAAATAATATTGTTGATTATTTTAGAATTCAGAGTTTATCTCTTAGCTCAACAACACTTTCAAATGCCCAAAAATTCAATTTACACGCCCTGGTAATAAGTTTGTTGGTTCTTATCCCAGATGTTATTAGTATACAGCCTTTAGCTGATTATGCACTTAAATTAATTGAAGCTAGAAGAGAAGAAGCTCCTCATTTGTTACCTGATATGTTATCTCATTATCCGTCAGAATGTGAATCTGCCAGCAAGTTACCTCACCTATTAGTAGATCAAGTAAGTGCACAATATTGATTCTTTGATTACTCTATACCGGATCCAGTAATAGTGCGTCGGGCCTCTGTAGCTGCTAGAATAAAAAACTTTTGAATTTTGATTAAGTGTAAACCTAAAGTATGTACTAGGATATATTTCAGAAAAATATTTTAACTTCTACATAGTCGCTCAAAAAAGTGTACTGCATTGGGATGATTTTTTTTTAAAGAAATACCCTGTGTATTATTGCATTTTTGGCTTCCTTTCAGATCACTTTACATATTCCCTAAAATATGAGTAAATAAATTTCGATAGTTTCAGGAATATTAATAAATAAATAAAAAATATATATTTTTCAGCCTTTCTTAAAAAAATACAAACACAAGAACTATCTTGCAATCAAAACAATATTAGGTATTTACTTTAGATGGTGTATACTTACTTTGCTGTAAATATCGTAATTTTAAATCATACAGGGAGTTCAAAGTTCTACGCCAAACTTTCGAAAATGTAAAATAATTTTTCTTTATTTTTTTTAATTGGAACACTGTGTATATTGTTTTTTTTATTAGATGGAGAATTAAAAAATGAAGATTTTTTGTATTTAGAGTATTTTACATTTTTTAACGATACTCGCGGCATTATTTTATATGGTTCTTTTTACGGTAAAATACGACAGAAAAATCATTGGGTGGCTTTGTAAATACTAACTTTTAACCGCTAACGTGCGGTCTGATATATCGCTATGCTATTTTTTTTATCTGTAATATTGTATAAACAAAAGTAACTTCTTTTATGTCAAGCATTTAGTCATAAATTATTTAAAGAATAAGAAATAATACATATCATAACAGATATATTTTAGAGTATTTAAACCTATTGCCTATCTGATACACAATCAATGCAAAGTTTTTGATCATTGGATACATTCTGCCCTTTGGTACAAGACACATCTATAATGAGCCTTTCTTCATATCATTGATGGATATTTATAGCACCGATGGATGATATTCATTAGTTTTTTAAATTCTTATATGCAATTCTAGTGAGCTTAAAGTTCCTTTGTCGATTTTCGTTTGGAAACGAAGATCTATAGTCAAATTTTTCAATACAATGTGAATTTGAATACTAGCATACCCAAAAGGACTTTAGGGATTGAAGTTTATTTAAAATAAAAAATAATGTAGATAAAATCATAATAAATTATACAGGGTGTCCCAGGCGGAGCGTGCATTAGAAGTTTCTAGAGAACCACAATATCTAGATCGGTGATTTTTTGCACATCATTGTTTCACAACGAGATCTATCGATTAAAAATATTTTCAATATGGCGGCACTTCTGGAAATACCGGAAGTTGACAGCAACTTTCTTATTTTAAATGGGTGACCTCATTTTTTATTGCATACTCAAATTCTTCGTAAAATTTTATGAATTTTAACATATTAACCTTTTTTGAGAAAAAAAAATATTTAAAATTTTTGGACGAAAAAAATTGTTTGTCAAAAATATGTGTATAGCCTACACGTCAAAATTAGTGAGTTACCACAGCCACTGTGTCATAAAGAAAAGACATGTGGTTATCTATTTGAAAAATTAAATTGTTCGAATGTCATATAGTAATGACGTTAGCTGTCATGGAATTGAGCGATTAAAAAATTATTATAAATCATTTTTTTCAAATGGAAACCCGCTTTTTTATTTCACTAGTGAAAAGGTTTTCCAGTTCGTTACTTTTTGAATATACATGTTCCTATACCTAAAATAAATCGTTTTTAAGTTATTTAAGATTTAGTTTGAAAACGTATATTTTTATTGATTTTATCTAGATTCCTTTGATAGTAAGTGTCAAACAGTCAGACAGTTTATTTCCATCTATCAAGAAACGAATTATTTGAATTTTCTATACTATAAATATTGCCTGCTTAAGAATTTAAAAAGTGTATTTATAAAAATATATCTTGTATTTTCGCTCTTTAGTGATATGTAATAGTTGATTTTATTAATAATATACCCTATGATCGAAAAAAAAACTGCAAATTGGCTTGGAAATGATGATCAACATACTGCTTTTTGAACAAAGTGTCACAATATGTCATGGCCACATCTACTAGACGTTTAAAGTCACAGGCTACTGGTTAAAATCAAGAAAAATATACGCTTTAAAACCAAATCTTAAATAACTTAAAAACAATTTATTTTAGGTATAGGAACATGTATGGTCAAAAAGTAACGAATTGAAAAGCCTTTTCACTAGTGAAATAAAAAAGTGGGTTTTCATTTGAAAAAACGATTTATGATAATTTTTTAATTGCTCAATTCCATGACAGCTAACGTCATTACTATATGACATTCGAACAATTTAATTTTTGAAATAGATAGCCACATGTCTTCTCTTTATGACACAGTGGCTGTGGTAATCACTAATTTTGACGTTTAGGCTATACACATATTTTTGACAGGCAATTTTTTTTGTCCAAAAATTTTAAATATTTTTTTCTCAAAAACGGTTAATGTTAGGTATAGAGTGTTACATATCAAAATTCATAAAATTTTGCAGAGAATTTCAATATGTAATAAAAAACGGGGGTACCCATTTATAATAAGAAAGTTGTTATCAACTTCCGGTACTTCTGGAAGTGCCGCCATATTGAAAATATTTTTCATCGATAGATCTCATTGTGAAACAATCATGTGCAAAAAATCTCCGATCTAGATATTGTAGTTCTCTAGAAACTTCTAATGCACGCTCAGCCTGGGACACCCTGTATATATTTGTCATAATGTGGATCAACCTGTTCTTACTACCGGTTTCGGAGCCCTACTCCATCATCACCTACATATCGAACCGCTGCTTTCTGACAAGTCGGAATTAGGTACTCTGCGCTGTGTTTGTCATTTTGTGGAACCGACCCAAGCTCACCTGATGATGGAGTGCTGCTCCGAAACCGGTAGTGAGAGCAGGTTGATCCACACATCATGACAAACATAGTGTGGAAATTAATTTCTATATCAGCAGTTAAATGGCAAGAATTCGTATATAATTTATTATATACCTATACTGCAAGAAATTTGTTTTCCATTTTATAAAATCATAATTCTATATAATCACAACAAAAATAGAGAAATATCATAAAGGAGATATTTTTTTATGTAGTTTTTTTATATGTATTTTATGATATATGATTAATTTTGTATTTTATTTATTAAAAAGTGTAATGGAAAATCTTTATAGATTAAATTAAAAAAAATGCTTTCTATTTTTTCAATAAAATTAATTCAAACTTATAAAAGGGTGCAGTACAGAATATTTTTATATTATGTTGCAGATGGCAATTTGTGATTACTTGAAGTCATCTGGTATAGATTCATCTAGATTGTCCCAGACATCGCCATATGGTGCTGGTGGTCCAGGTAATAATCCAACTTAAGTTCTTATTCAATTTAATTTAAAAAATCTGGAAAATGTTTTTAGGAATTATTGTTGGAAGTCAGCGACATAGTTGGATGGAACCTAATCCAAGAGGAAGTATTATTGAAATTCCATCTGCCCATGAAGTTGACAGTGCAGCTAGTTCACCTGGTGTCACAAGGGTATGAAGAAAATTTTATTTAGTTGCTTTTATTAAATGATATGTTATAGAAAATGCCCGAAGAGGAACTAACTTTTGAAAGTATGAAGAAAGTATTAACTGAGCCACCAGAGATCAGGAAGGAAGCAGAAGCAGAGAGGAGAAAACAAATCAGTCATACTTTTAGAACTGCTACTTTTTCAGAATTGGTCAGGAGAACTCAACCTAAGGTAATACAAAAAATGTGAAATATAATGGAATTGTTTGGTAAATTATTTAAGTCTAAGTATTTTATTATTTACCATTTTGTGGATTAAAAAAAGTGACAGCAGCAAAATGGAAAATAGTTTTATCTGTTATTTCAATTAATCATAACATTTTAAGAAAATCAAGAAGCTGGAAAATATCAAGGTTTTGTTGTACTATTAAATCTGAAATATTTATGACAGAATATACAATTTTATGTGAGACATTTTTCTCTTTATTAGTTAATAGATCTACTAAAAATTAGACAGCTTCTCAAATAGAGCCTTTCGGATTCGGCGAGAAATTGTAGGTCTAGTGTACTTGAGTATGTGACTGTACTGATGACACACATCACAAGTACATGTGGGAAGTCGTCAACGCTCTGTATAGAGCAAAAGGCATTGAAAGAAGAAGACAAATTAGACGAAAGTAAGTTTTGTTAACTGTCTTTAAAAAAGATAGCAAATAGATACATTGCAGAATATCTGCATTGCCGCCGAGTGGAATCCAGTAATAATTGTGTTTCAATATTTTAGTGTCCGATCCAAAACTACTTTTTACCGACTACTTTTTACTAGCGATGGGAACTATCGAATGAAATAAACTATCGAATGGTTACTGAATGAATGATTTCAACTATCGAATGGTTTTATTCGAATAAAACCATTCATTCATTTCATTAATACTAAGGCACGTGGCAACCTCGCCGAGCGACTAAATGACTATCGTTGCGCTGCGACTATCGAATGCATTTCATTTAATAAATGAAATATTAGTATTTGTAGTTATTTGTTTTGGTATGAGAACATTAGTTCCGAATTTTTGTAAATTTGCCGTGCGAATACTATGATATTCTATGATAATATTGCGATATTGACATTAAATACGAAAACAGTAGTTGTTTAAAATTGACGAGTGCGTGTACAGGTAATCAAAAATTTTCCGAAATTTGTGTAATTTTCTCGTAGGGTGGCGGGCCCCTTCAATTTTCAATTACTTACTTTTATATGGTATGTATGATTTATTTTTTTAGTGGAAAATTTTGGGAAGTGGTAATTTTTGAAATAATCTCAATTCATTTTAAAAATATATTTGTATATTTATAACACATATGTATAATATACAGGGTTCTGCAATAGTGTGTTGGGCATCTGTACTATAATTAAAGACTTAGGAATGTTGTTTAAGTGCAAACCTAAAGTATGTACTACGATGTATTCAGGAAAATATTTTACCTTCTACAGGGTGGCTCAAAAAGTACGAGTGGCTCGGAATTATTTTTTTAAGTGGAATACCCTGTCTAATATTGCATTTGATAGTTTGAGTTATTAATAAATAAATAAAAATATATAGGTATTTTTCAGCCTGTTTTAAAAAAATATTAAAAATACCAAGAACCGTAGTGGAATCAAAACTACACTAGGTATTTACTTTACTATAGCTGGTCTGTATATAATTTGCTATAAATATGGTATGGTAATCTTAAATCAGACAGGGTGTTCAAAATTCTACCCCAAACTTTCAAAAATATGAAACAATTTTTCTTTCGTTTTTTTTAATACAAAATTTTTCTATCTAACAAAAAATAATATACAGGGTATTGTATATCATTTTTTGTTAGATGGAGAATTTTTATATTTATATTATTTTAAAAATTTTAAGAGTTTCGCAGATATTCGCTGTATTACATACAGCTCTTTCAACGATAAAATACCTGAGCAAATTCTAATATTTTTGTTAATTTTTTAAAACAGGCTGAAAAATATATATTTTTATTTATTTATTAATAACTAAAACTGTCAAAACATATTTAATATCTTGATCGTGATCAGAAAGGAAGCCAAAAATGCAATCATATACAGGGGTGTTCCATTTAAAAAAAATATATTTGGTACCACTCACACTTTGTTGAGCTGTAGAAGTTAAAAAAATTTCCTGAAAAACATCTTAGAGCATATTTTAATGCAGTTTGTTAAGTGCACAATCCTGGCATCTTAGTTCACAACGGCAACGATGCATGGTGTGTTTTCAATAGTCAGATTAGGAGCGTAGGGCCGGATACAAAAAAGCAGGCTTTATGTAAACACAGACACTTTTTTTAGTTTTAAGGAATTGCTTAAGATCGACAGTGTTGCCACCTTAGTGGTATTACCAATAAAATAGTTTTGTTAGGTTTTAAAAAGACCAGTTTATTTCCGGGTTTATTTAACAATCAGCGAGTCATTTATTGTGTTACTGTTGCATGACCCTGTATAGATATTCTATATAATACGAATTACTTAAACTTATACGAGGATAATCATATATAATTAATGAAGTTGTCAAATTACTAATTTTGCGGTCAGAATTTAAAAAAAAAAGTTTAAGACCTTTATATTTTTATGCTAATTCTCTAACATGTAGTTTTTCGATAAGAAATACCAGTAGAGGTAAATAATTGAATTGAATGGCTAAGAAGCAGTAGCAGAAAAGAAATGTATTTTGTAGAAAAGTTTATAAATCATACCTTACCTTGGTTTTTGTACTTTATCTTCAAAATACAGTAGTCGTTTTTTAAATTAAGCTGAAATACTTTAAGAAAAAAATATATTTCAGACTTTGTAATGAAGCGAAGTGCCAAACGTTCCACAATATGGGAATTTTCTACAAAAATCAACGATAAAAATATATTGTGTAATGTATGCAAAAAAGAATTCAAATATTCAGGCAATACGTCAAATCTACGTGATCATTTTCGACGAAAACACCCTGGATATTTGGAATCATCAAAGTTATCCACACAACATCATGGTAACGACTTAGATGAACAGGAGAGAATGGATGTATCTCAAGATACAGCAACAAACCCGAATGTCGCCAGTATTGAAACAGAAACAATCCTAAACGAACCTTCGACTTCATCTACCTCTTCGTCTTGTACTTCAGTAATGCAAACTAATTCAGGTGAAAGAAACATAATACAAAAAGACACTGGTATATCATCACACTTTAAAAAACCCCGACAGACAAAACTTTTCTTGGCAGACAAAAGGACCCATTTATATGATACAGAAATACATGATATTGATAAAAGTTTAATAAAAATGATAGCCTTAGATTTTCAACCCCTGTCAGTTGTTGAAAATACAGGATTTATTAATTATTCCCAACTGCTACAACCCCTCTATAAATTACCAAGCAGGAAAACTTTAACAACTAAGTTGATACCTGAAGCGTATAATAGAATTTCTACGCAGCTAAGAAACATCTTATCAAATGTAAAGTATATATCTGTGACAACCGATATCTGGACTTCAGATTCTAACAGAGCCTATATATCTGTCACAAGCCATTTTATGTTTGACAATAAAATAATAAATTCCGTTTTGAGTGTAAAAGAAATTCCAGTAGCACATACTGGTCAAAATATAGCATTAGCCCTATCAGAGTGTTTCAACGAGTGGGGTGTTAATGAAAAAATTATTACTGTAGTAAGTGATAATGGGGCAAATATTAAAAATGCCATAGTCCAACATTTAAAAAAGAACCATCATCCATGTGTTGCGCACACGTTAAACTTGTGCGTCACAGATGCCCTAAACGCCCATAATGAAGCAATGGAAGTTGTAAAACCTCTTCTTGCAAAATGTAGAGCCATAGTAGGTCATTTTAAGCACAGCGTAACTGCGTGCGAAAAATTAAAAACAATGCAACAACAAATGGCCCTACCTGAATTAAAGGTTATGCAGGACGTCTCTACGAGATGGAATTCGACCTTACATATGATCCAAAGGCTGTTACAGATCAGAGAGCCTTTATCTGCTGTTATCAGTTCTTTAACAAAAGGCCCTACATTTTTATCTGCTGCTGAATGGGAAATGTTAAGCGATTGGATTCCAATTTTAAAACCGGTCGAACAGATGACAATTGAAATGTCTGGAGAGCAATACCCAACTATGTCGATGATAATTCCACTCATACGTGGACTGCAGCATGCAGTTAATTACACACCAGCCGTCACACCCAGTGGAATGTCACTGAAGGCATTTTTGATGGAGAGCATTATCAAAAGATTTGCTGTATTTGAAAATAATACCACATGCGGGAAAGCAACTTTTTTAGACCCAAGATTCAAAAAAGCCGGATTTGGATTTACGACAAGCGCCGATTTAATTCAGGATGACATTGAAAAAGAAGTTGTTTTATTGACAAATATCATCGAAGACTCTAATATGGAAAGAGGAAAATCATCCAGTTCGGCAGAAACATCAGAAAACTTGAATATTTGGTCTCATTTTGATGAGAAAGCCTCAAAAATTAAAACAGTAACAACACCCAACACAATAGCTAAATTAGCCGTAAGACAATATTTAGAACAACCACTTATTGGTCGATCTGAAAATCCTATGATATTTTGGACACGGCATCAGAATTCAATGCCCGAATTATACGAACTGTATAAAAAATACTCATCTATACCAGCGACATCTGTTCCATCGGAAAGATTATTCTCAAAAAGTGGGGAAATAACCAATGATCGTAGAAGCCGAACTTTACCAAAGAATTTAGAGGCTATATTATTTTTAAACAGCAATATAAGGAATTTTGATTTCTAATCTATGTTTTGCTTCCATTGTTCATGTTTTATTATGTTAAATTTTTATTAAACTGTTTATAAATTAGTACTGTTATTATTATTTATTAAACCATCCTTTGCTTAAAAACATAAAGAAATATTTTCCTAAATCTAAAATAAAAAAGTATTATTGCAGTGTAAAATCAGAATATTAATAAAATGCAAAATATACATAATATCCCTAATTCACTCATACCAACTAATACCGATATATGGCAACAGCGCCCTTCATAATGTATTTTTATTTTCTGTATAAATTCCTGGCACCTCAATAAAAAAATATTGTCTCCTTATCTCACTCCGCAAAAAATCAAAGAGGCCGGCTTCTTTCAAACCCATGCTACCGAGCGCTGTCGGGTTTCTAGGTAGAAAACCTACGTCGCCGGGCGACAACTTTACTGCGATATTTTATTATAATCGATACTGACGAATAAATGAATTTTATAAATGAATGGTTTTTGCCAAAAACCATTCATTTATAAAATTCATTTATGTTTTGCTGTCGAATTACTAGAATACAGACTTTCAAGGCAGTTTTCGCATCTATTCGATTATTTTCATTCGAATAGTTTTCGACGAATGTTTTTTTCATTAGCTATCGAATTATTCGAATGAATTGCAACTATCGAATGTTTCGATAGTATTCATTCGATAGTTCCCACTACTACTTTTTACCGACTACTTTTTACTACTTTAAACCGAAACATACATAAAAGAATATGTTTTCGTTTCTTTTTATAACTACAAAATAATATTTTTGTATATATTTAGATTTTGTTGAGAAAATCATCATTATTTGGAGAACTTAAATTGTCACCATCTAGTAAATGTTAACTTATTACTGTACATTTTATTGCACTACGAGTAGAGCGAAAAGCGCTTTTTGAGACATTAAGTTAATTAAAATCCGTTCATCCAAAATAGAGATATCAACATTCGAATGTAAAAATATTTAACCTTTGCCCACCATTTTGTTTCTGACAATAGAGAAAAATGGGCTAGAGCAAAAAAATTGCGTAATTGGTTGAAGAATACAGTGCTTTTATTTTAAACATACTTCAATTAGGAAAATTTACGAAAAAATTGGTACTCTCCATCATCAATGAATCCAATCAAAAATCGTGCGATTTAAATGAAATTTGGTATGCCGATAGATTGGACCAAGGCCAACTTGACCGTGTATGACATGTGTCACTGTAACAGTTAGCTTTGACGTAAGAAACGTCAAAAGTTGATGTCATCCGATCGCGACCAAATTTGGTGGGTAGGCTATGTGAGCGACGGTGTATATGGTCCTACCCGGCAAAGCTGGATACGACGTTTCGTTTTCATCTTCATCAGGGTGGGACTAACGATTTGATATTGAAGAAAAATGTGGGTCGATTTTGGCATAATTAGGGACGGGCTACTGGATGACGTCCTCAACGTTTCGAACCAATACCTCCAAATGGACGAAATCTTTAGGATTTTGCTTAATTATGGGTCGATTGGAACCAAACTTGGCACGTGGATAGAGGTACCTGAATGGAATTCTCAGATAGAGACGGAGAGACAGACAGACGGAAGTAAGAAGTTTCACTTCAAATATACGCACATAGTGCACACACAATTTTTTTCTTTAAGCTTTAACATTTACGGTTCCCAAGTTACAGGGAAAGTTCTCTATTATTGGATCACCCTGTACATGTATCATATTATACATGCTGATTTTTATAATTATATGCAATTACTAAATATTAGTTAGTAATTGTAAAATACATATTTATATAATTACCATCCTAGGATTACTTTATTTGTTTAAAAAAAATGTTTTTGAGAAAAACATAATTCTATATTTTGTTTCAGCATGACATTCTACAAAATAAACTGAACGAAATCTTCAAGTCACTGAGTACGAGCGATGGAAATATCAGTCCATCAGGGGATATACAAAAAAGCGCTCAGCCAACATATGAACAAAACTTTCCAGAGTTGTTCTATTACTAACTGTTAAATTTAGATAAACATTTAAATAGCTAGTTGCGAAGGTTACTTATATTAATGTCGTGGTTTAACTCATATTAATTTATTTTAAATTGACAAAATATTGATATTAGTGGAGTAGGTCTATTATTGTGACTAATCATTTTTTTATTAACATTTTCTTATGTACATTGTATAAGGTCGTTTGGCTGTCGTTATGTATTATTCAAAAATTCTAAAATATTGTTAAAATTTAGAACATATAAGTAGTAAAAGAATTATAGTTCTAAATAAATGTTAAATAATTATTGTTCAATATTTAAACACCAGAAAGGGGATTAGGAATAAGTTTCTTCATATACTGTTTGCATGTTAAAATTTATTTAACTACATTTTGTGAAAAAAATAATATTTTACATGTACACTAAGCAATTTCTTGTGATATTTATATATTTTGTTTTGATTATAATATATTCTGAATGGATGTCTAAATTTAATATCTTAAATAAATGTTATCTCCCTAAAGAAATTGTGTTGTTTATGGACAACGGTAGAATGTAGAATGAATGGAAGGGGTTAATTTCTGCGACCTTATAGATCTATTGTGTCCCCGTTTCTTGAGTTATAGCTCATCATACAGTCTAAATCATACATGGGGATCTTCCTGTTATAGAGGGGTACAGGGTATTTCCCATTCTCCTCTGACAACAGATGTTCATCCTCCGAGGCGTGGGCATCTACCTCCTACGAGGGTATACACCCTTCCAGGGTTGGGGCCCATCGTGCCTTTCACAGTCGAAGCAATTGTCTCCGGCTGAGGTACCCGTGAGGTGGGGCCTGGAGGATCTGTTTCCATTTTTTCTACCTCTTTAATTTGGTCTCTTGTTAGACCTGATACCGGTGTTGTCCCGAATGTAATAGAGGATAGGTATATCTGTCTCTATTGCCTCCTTGGATTTGAGGTCAATTCCTATTGTGAGGACCTGACCATGGCCCTCCTCCCTCGTGTTGATGACTCGCCAAATGGATGTCCTTACATTGAAGTTCTGTGCCTGGATAAGGCTCAGCAGGTAGGTAGTGTCTTTCCCCTTGCTCTTCGGTAGAAAGATCAAGTGATGGTCGCCCCTTCAGGGATATTTTTTACCTCTCTGCAACCAGTACTGTCTCCTGCCAATTTTTAAGCTTAGAGGCCGTTCTCCCCAGCTAATCCGCCGATTCTTGAAATGCCCAGCCTGTGAGGAGCATGCCCACCCGAAACTATATCCCGAAAAACGCAGCTGACCCACATTTTGTAGATCATTGCGTTGCAATCCGCTCGCTGCTGCTTCATCCGTATCGCTTCTCCTCTCTAGGAGAGGCGATACGGAGCGCACCGAAGAGCAATCTGCTCTGCGTTTGCTGGTCAGTGGTCAGTGCAACCTCTGGGTAGTCCTTTGCCGCCAATTTCACTTGTCTAGCAATAGCAGCGAAGCTGCTGATACATCCCCGCTTGTTTGGTGTCAGACGGCTTTCCATCCTGGCTTTTTTCTGCTTGAGCAGAAAGGTGCAGAGGTGAGAGGTTCTCGCTCCCTCTCTTGCCCTTTGGTGTAGATGTCAGGCTATTTCTTGAATCTCCTATTTTTCTGGGAGTGTTTTCGCTATTTGTGTCTAGAGATACCAATTCTATTTTGGCTTTCGAGCTTCCGCATGCGTAATAAGTTGATCTGCTTACTTAAACAACTACGGCGGAAAGTAACGCCTGGGTATAGGCAGTGTCGCAAGAGCACCTGTGGCTCCGTGACTGAGGCCATTGCTTTGTGAGCGAATGGTCCGTGGTTCAAATCTCACGCCGGACCAAAACTTTTTTATATATTTTTTGCTTATAGCGTGATTTCATTGCATTGGTTTCACTCTTTTTGGTTGGATTGGTTTATTTATTTGGCAGGTTGGTTAGCGTGGTTATTTGGAGGGTGTTAATCCATTGGTATTACAATAAAACGCGAAATAAATCTCTGCGCATGTTCAGAAGCTCGAAAGCCAAAGTAGAATTGGTTTCTCTAGACACAAGTTTTCGCTTTTGCTCCCTCTGGATCAAGTCCTTCGTGGCGCAGTCGGAGATATATCCGTACTGCTCCGCTAATATTTACTTTCAGTTGATCGTCTAGCTCGCCTGGTTGACCCAGGCCGATTAGACAAAACGGAAGCTTGTGTCGCTTGTTGGGTCAACAGGTAGGCCCCCCGATTTCATTCACAAATTATCCAGAAGCCTACGATAAACTTTATAATATTATTTTACTTTAAATATACTTACATTTTGTTTAGTGACAAAATTAGAGTTAATAATTATTGACAAATATAGTAATATTTGTTAAAACGCGTGTACTAATTACAATAATCAAGTTAAAGACATAAGTTTATATAGCCTTAGACCCGTGTGACAGATAATACGTCATTTCCATTTATAAAGAAGTGAGAATCGAATTCAAAATAATTATGGAATAATTTTCTAATTGCAAAACACCAAAACACCATAGATTTAGTGTGTAAGATGGTCTTACCCCTTGGTGCTTTTGTTTGTAGTTGAAATTTAACCGAAAATGCCCATTAACCGATAATCGTCGGGCTCTAATGGAACTGCCAAACGTTGTAATGCTTAAAAACATGTTAAGGAAATAATTTTATTAATAACAACATCATACATTATGATGAACAATGCAGCAGAATATTGTGCATTTCGTCATTTTAGGAACCCCATGCATATCAACTGGCGAAACCTCCTTTTCATTGAATATTTTTCAATATTCCTTTTTTAAGTAATTTGTTACTAATAAATGTTTTTGTAATATTCATCAATAATAAATTTAAAGTTTCATGCACAAAAACATAAACAACAGATTATATATTGATTATTATATGACTTGAAACACCACGGCACTGGAATTAAGTTTCATGTGACCTTGAACAGATTAGTTCACATGGTAGCGACCGATGAATCCCTCCCAAACATTAGTGGCGTTTACTATATGAGGGTTTTTTTGCCAAAGAAAAATTTGGATTTTTTTGAAAAAATTGTTAAAAGTTAAAAAATATATTTTTATAATATGGCAACATACACTATCGGACAAAAGTAGAGCAACACCTCGAGAAATATTTGCAAATCGCGATTTTTTAATTATACATGCATGATAATGTATACAAATACAATAAATTTAAAAACTACCAAGTAGGCTATGAGTATCCATAACAGCAAGAATTTTTACTAACAAAACAAATGAATTTATTTTGACATTTAGTTTTAAATGCTTAATAGTAACGCCTAGCTAGGTATATTCTTTGAGTAACGCGTCAAAAGTAGAGGAACATAATTCATTCCAAAAAAGGGTTTTAACAAAAGTAAAAGCCAAAATAATTGTGCGAGGTTTATTTTATGATTTTTTAAATATTTCTATGCTGGATTAGTCATGCCAAGAGGAATTCCAATTTCAAAAGACTTGAAGCAAAGAGTTGTGAATGCATTCATGGAAGGTAACAAACAAGCCGATATTTCAAGACAGTTTGTGTTACCCCGGTACAGTGTATCTAAAATAATTTCATCGTATAATGACAGGGGACACTCAGAAAAGTTGCCAAAATCGGGAAGGCCAAAGAAAACAACAGTAATGACCGACAGACGCATTAAAAGAATTGCTCAAAATGATCCTTGGAAGTCCGCACCTAGAATTATTGCCGAAATTCCAGAAATTACGGTTAGTAATACGAACAGTACAAAGAAGATTAGCAGATGCAAAGTTATTTAGTAGACGTCCAGCTAAAAAGCCGTTAGTTTCGGAAAGAAATAGAGCAGCATGGTTGGCATTCGAACATCGGCATTTAAACTGGGCCGTCAATGACTGGAAAAAAGTTCTGTTGAGTGATGAAACGCGCTACAAAATATTCAATTATGATGGAATGAGATGTGTGAGGCGACTAATCAATACAAGGTTTAATCCTAAATACGTAACACCTACCATTAAACACGGTAAAGGCAGTGTATAGGCACTGTTTTATGGGGTTGTTTTTCATGGAATAGGATAGGCTCTATACACTTTATTAATGACACGATGGACCGATTTGTTTATAGGGACATCATGCAGAATGTTATGCTTCCTTATCCAGAAGGGGAAATGCCACTGCGTTTAATTTTCCAACAGGACAACGATCCAAAACACTCTTCACAAGTTGTTCAAGAGTGGTTTAGGGAAAATGACGTTCGAGTTTTGCAATGGTCAGCACAATCCCCAGACCTTAACCCCATTGAAAATCTCTGGGAAGAAGTAGAATGTCGTATTCGTACCCAAATGTTTCCAAATAAACAATCCTTATGATAGATAAAATTAATGAAGTTTGGACAAATCTTCCCGAAAATGTCATTCAGAAGTTGATTGCTTCAATGCCGCGCCGTTGTCAGCAAGTTTATTATTGTTCTTAAATGTGTTAAATATTTTTTGTTGAAATAAGACACAATAAAATCTGTTGAATACAATTTGTTGCTCTACTTTTGTCGCCCCCATTCTCATCAATTTTTATAATCATTATTATTTACCATTTTTAAACTGACTAAATGTACACGAACATTTTGTAAAATATTACTTTTAGTGTAAGGATAGTGTGTTAGTAAACATAGCCGAAAATCACAACCTAATAGTTTTTTTTATTCAAACATGAATAAAAATGAACTTTGTTGCTCTACTTTTGTCCGATAGTGTATGTAGTAGATAAAATTTACAAGAAAGAAAACCAAGAAAAGATACAAAGGTTCTCAAAATTATATATATATATATATATATATATATATATATATATATATATATATATATATATATATATATATATATATATATATATATATATATATATATATATATATATATATATATATATATATATATATATATATTACAGTGTGACCCACTCAAGACCGGGCACCCTCCATAAAATCTGTGTTTAGTTAGTCCGATTTTGATGATTTTTTTTTCAAATATAAAGTTTCAAAAAATGTACTTTAGGGCTCAATGTCATGTTATTTCACAAAAAACAAGGCCTACTTAATAAAGTTTTTGTGGTGAAAAATTTGCAAAATCATATTAGCGATTTTTTTTCAAAAAATTTGAGTACACCCCTACATTCGGCATCCCTCAAAACAGTTCTGTACCAAATTTCGTTTAAAAATATTAATTATTAATAATTCTGCAGTTAAATTAAATAATTCCCTATTTTTGCCAATTTAACGATGAGTTATAACGTAACCCTTGAAAAAAACAATCCACAACAATGGGTTTTATTAGCTGTCAATTCTTGCAGCGTAGAATTGAATATTAATTTAATAGCACGCAGAAAAGTGTTGTATCAAGAAATATTATTTGCATTATGGAACAATTAAATATTAGGGATAAAATTGAAATGATTCGTTTAGTGGGTGATAACTATCTTCAAGCAGGAGAAGCTGCCAGAGAATTTAACAACAGAC